TTTTCAAATTTCAAATATTGAAAAATTTCAAGAAGTAATCTTTAATTGCACAGTATGGCGCATTAGATTTGTAAAATCTTTGATCACATTTATTTATTTGTTATGCCGAATCTAACAGTGTATTTAGATTTTTAATTTTGGGTCCAGTTTTCAAATTGGTCTACATTAATGTCCAAAGGGTCCAAAATTAAACTTTGTTTGATTTTAGCAAAAATTGAATATATGAGGTTCTTTGATATGCTGAATCTAAACATGTATTTAGATTTTTGATTTTTGCCCAGTTTTCAAGTTGGTCCAAATTGGGGTCCAAAATTAAACTTTGTTTGATTTCAACAAAAATTGAATATATGGGGTTCTTTGATATGCTGAATCTAACCATGTATTTAGATTTTTTATTTGTGGACCCCGTTATCTAATTGGTTCATATTGAGGTCAAAAGGGTCCAAAATTAAACTTTGTTTGATTTCATCTAAAATTGAATTATTGGGGTTCTTTGATATTCCAAATCTAACCGTGTATTTAGGTTTTTAATTTTGGGTCCTGTTTTTTAAATTGGTCTACATTGAGGTCCAAAGGGTCCAAAATTAAACTTAGTTTGATTTTGACAAAAATTTAATTCTTGGGGTTCTTTGATTTGCTGAATCTAAACATGTGTTTAGATTTTTGATAAATGGGCCCAGTTTTCAAGTTGGTCCAAGATAGGGTCCAGTATTTAAACTTTGTTTGATTTCAACAAAAATTGAATATATGGGGTTCTTTGATATGCTGAATCTAAACATGTATTTAGATTTTTGATTATGGGCCCAGTTTTCAAGTTGGTCCAAATTGGGGTCCAAAATTAAACTTTGTTTGATTTCAACAAAAATTGAATATATGAGGTTCTTTGATATGCTGAATCTAACCATGTATTTAGATTTTTTATTTGTAGGCCCCGCTATCAAATTGGTTCATATTGAGGTCCAAAGGGTCCAAAATTAAACTTAGTTTGATTTTAACAAAAATTGAATTCTTGGGGTTCTTTGATATGCTGAATCTAAACATGTGTTTAAATTTTTGATTATGGGCCCAGTTTTCAAGTTGGTCCAAGTTGGGGTCCAAAATTAAACTTTTTTTTATTTCAACAAAAATTGAATATATGGGGTTCTTTGATATGCTAAATCTAACCATGAATTTAGATTTTTTATTTGTGGGCCCCGCTATCAAATTGGTTCATATTGAGGTCAAAAGGGTCCAAAATTAAACTTTGTTTGATTTCATCAAAAATTGAATTATTGGGGTTCTTTGATATTCCAAATCTAACCGTGTATTTAGATTTTTAATTTTAAGTCCCGTTTTTTAAATTGGTCTACATTAAGGTCCAAAGGGTCCAAAATTAAACTTAGTTTGATTTTAGCAAAAATTGAATTCTTGGGGTTCTTTGATATGCTGAATCTAAACATGTGTTTAGATTTTTGATTATGGGCCCAGTTTTCAAGTTTGTCCAAGTTGGGGTCCAAAATTAAACTTTGTTTGATTTTAACAAAAATTGAATATATGGGGTTCTTTGATATGCTGAATCTAACCATGTATTTTGATTTTGGACATTGGACCATAATAGGTAAATTAAAAAAAGTCAAGTTCTTAGACCACATTCTTTCTGTGTCAGAAACCTATGCTGTGTCAAATATTTAATAACAATCCAAATTCAGAGCTGTATCAAGCTTGAATGTTGTGTCCATACTTGCCCCAACTGTTCAGGGTTCGACCTCTGCGGTCGTATCAAGCTGCGCCCCAGCGAAGCATTTTATCTAAACTGGAAAAAGACAATTATCTCCCTTATTTCAGGCATAAATATATAGAAATATTTATTTAATAAATCAGTATGAAGAGACCTATTCTTGGACGCGTACGCCAATAGTAACTTTAGTAAACCGGAAGTAGCTTCTCATCAATAATTTAGAAAATTGATGTGGAAAGACATTCAATTGTTCTCTGAACAATTGGTTTTTAATTTGTATTTTTTTTTTTTTTTTTTTTACCTTTATAACTTCAATGTAATTATTTCACTGCATTTATTTATCATTTAAATATTGATTTATGTAGTACATTGTAGTGACTAGTACTGTTAATATCAATCAAATTCCAATTTTTGTATATATATATATACTCCAGGACTCCTACATTTTTAAGGAATTTTTTAATTATACTAGTTTTAATTACAGGGTTCTACTCATTTGGGATGGATGTAAAAGTATGCAGTGGCGTTTAATTTTTTTTCTTATCATTATCAAACTGCTATTTTTTTGGGTGTTTAAATACGCAGCCACTGTTTAAATTATTCTACCGTTGTCAAATTTGAAATATTATACAAGCTTAGATCGGTTAGTGCTGTTTATTGGGAATGTATTTCCACGCAGTTGTTGTAACATCTTAACTGTCGTCACCTTTGGAATTTTAAAGTTGTGCAAGCTCATATCGCAAATTATTACTATTTTTATTTTAGGTATGTCGTTGCGCCGTGTTTGAAAATTTTAGAATTGTACTAGCGTCTCTATGATGTTCTGGTAAAACTGTTTTTTTGTATAGAATTCAAGTTTGCTATACTTTTATAATCAGAGTAGGTTGATAAGATTCATTTTACATCACGATCTTACTGATGAAGGATATCTGTTAGTTCATTTTATTGTTATTTTTTGGTGATGTTGTACCCTTTTAGACTGGTTATATATTATATTTTGTAGTGTACTGTATCATAATTATATGATCCATCGCCCAGTAAGATTTATCGTTGGCTATTATTCAGTCATTTTATATATATATACTGATACATTTGTATAGATATACATGTATTAGAATACTGTCATGACCATGATGACTGTAAATGTAAATTCAGAAATATTTGCTTTGTTTACATTATTTTGGAAATTGCAACAGGATAAGTTTTGCCAAAAAACAATATAAAAACTGGCATTTTAAATTCTGATACCATTATTTTGTATTCTTGAAATTGTTATAATTAATCTTATATTCTTGTCCATTATCATGATTATTCAACATGTTCAAGTTCAACAATTGCAATAATACTGTGGATTCATTATTAATCGTTGGATACCAATTTTCGCGGGTTTCGTGGGTACAGGTGAACCACGAGTTCAAATGTTCAACGAATTACAAATTTTCTACAGGCTTTGTATGCAGCAATTGGCAAAACAACGAATTCAAATATCTACGAAAATGCAAATTTTCTCAATCCACGAAAATTGATACCCACGAAATTAAATGAATCCACAGTATTTCTCAATTTACAGTACATTCCGAAAAAGACATTTCAAAGCAGATATATATTACATTTCTAACAAAAAAAATCTTCTGAAGTACCTGCATCTGAGAATGTAAATCTTTGTCATGTTTGTGATGTTCAATTCAGAAATTCTGAGCCCAAGTCAAGGCTCAGGGAATCTTTTAACAAAAAATCTTACGACAAAAATTGATCGTTAGTTGTACTGAAATGTTCATGACTTTTTTGTGAAAAGAGTCTTCTAGGTGTTTAATTTCATGTTTTGTCTGTACCTATCTTAGGCCAAACAAATAATTCTTTTTCCTGCCTCCTAATTACAATGTACCTACCCTAAATTTTCATGCCTTACCCAAAACATGTTATTGACATTTTTGGTTATTCTCTGTAAAAGTACTAGTCCAGACATATTTTTTTTAACATGTTTAAGCACCTTTAGTCCAAAACATCTCAGTATATCATGCATTAATAGCTTTAGTCTGTCTAGGTTAAATATAAAAAAAAATCAATCTTTTAATTTTCAATTCCCATTTTTTTCTGCCAAGAGACAGGAAACAAGTATACTTTTGTTTGGCCTTAGCTTCATCTGTTGAGGAGGATGTGAATAAAATTTTGATGGAGAATTTAAACCAAGTGTTATTGATTAAACTGAAATTATGATTTATTATTAACTATGATATATTTTGTTTACCAATTACACCCACGTTATACCTATAGATATATCGTCTCAATGATCTTTGATATGAAACCAGGAAGTAAAAATGTTAGTTTACTGGTATAAATAGTGTTATAGTTAAATTACCTTTTGTGGTGATAACACTGGGATGGCTGTTTGATTACATGCTAAACAGAAAGTAAGACTAAACATTATAAAGGTTTTTTATTTGTTTGCATCAATGAGGAAGTGACTGACTTTGATAAATTCTTTTGATAAGTTTTGTTAAGGTTTTATAAGTAAATAACAATGATTGTCAAAAAGAGGTTTGATTTGTAATGTCCGTTTTACTTTTAGGTAGGAAATAATTTTCTATTCTTGAATATTATCTGATAATGCAAACAAAATCTTCAAACTGTCAGATCTTTCCATAATTTCTTTAAGTTTCATTGTAACTTTTGAATTTATTAAACTTAAATTGTTAAATGGAAGATGGTTTGTACTGTTCATTGAAATGGAATAGAGCATAGCTGATAATGTTTATGAATTTTTTTTTTCTTGTAGTCTTTTTTTTTAACAATGTTTAAGGTGTTAAAGCATTGATGCAAGCACATTTTGATATTTTGATGATCAAGCACTTTTATTCAAAGTAAATGAGACATAAAATGACATCTTTTAACACAATTGTAATTGTTGTCTGCCAATCAGAAATTGTAATCCATCTGATATCTCTTTGTCATGGATCTATATCAGTTTAGAAAAAAAATGTACATGTATCTTAGACAATTTAAGCTATCTTCAAAAAGAGGGGCGAAAGATACCAGAGGGACATTCAAACTAAATTCAAGTATTGAATCATTCAATAAATACACACTAAATAATTTTTTAAAAGCAGCATTTAGGAGTTGAAAGAAAAAAAATAGTCAGCACAAAGTGAGAGTAACATGTCCTGTTTGTGTGATTTGTCAACCAGTGGGTTTTTCATATTACCGGTAAATCAAGATAATTATTTAACTTGTGTGTTGAATAAGATTTTATATTATATAAAAAAAAATCTTTTTTTTTTTGCAGAAATATGGGGTTTGGGACAGACCTGCAAGGCAAGGATTCCCATGATGCCCTAGTGCGTTGCCATGACACTGAAATTAGATTGTATGAAAACATTAAACGTTGCTTAAATATTCGGATAGACAGTGATAAAAAGTATGCGACATCTTTAACAACATTTGTACAACAAGCTCAGAAAGTGGATTTCTCTGAATTTTCTCCAACATGTGCTGTAATGCAGGTTTGTAAAATTAAATAAAATATATAATGTGAAAATAATTTGTACAAGGAATGTTTGAATACAAGTATTAGATAAGGTTTAAAAGTATATGGCTTCTGTGTCATTTGGTCTCTGGTGGAGAGTTGTCTCATTGGCAAGTATACCACATCTTCTTACATGTACTTTTATACCACATCTTCTTACATGTACTTTTATTCTTACTGCTTGAAAAGCTGGTGTTGATTAGAAATAAACATTATTCAGATAGTTATATCATGAATATGTTGATTATTGGTCGATTAAGAACTTTATTTGTGGGTTCTATTAAAAGGTAAACCAGTATTAGCATGAATAGAACAAATTAGCAATCAATTCAAATATTAAAGGAAGAGGTGAAGTTACAATTGAAATCTTGCCTTAAGTTACAAAGATCTTCTATGAACATGATGAACTGCTTATTAACTGTTTTAAAGAGGGGAATAAAGATGATGTATAACATAGAGTCTATAAGAAAGACTAATTCTTATGCGGTGTGGACTTTGCTCATTGTTGAAGGCTGTACAGTGACCTATAGTTGTTAATTTCTGTGTCATTTGGTCTCTTGTGGAGAACTGTCTCATTGGCAATCATACCACATCTTTTTAGTCCCCTACCGACGAAGTCGAAGGGGACTTTAGGTTTGCACTCTGTCCGTCTGTCTGTCTGTCCATCTGTCAGTCCGGCAAATCAGTTTTCCAGACTTTTTTTCTTTGTGCTTGAAAATATTGATTTGATATTTGGTTTATTGATTTATCATGACAAGTTACAGGTCAAGTTCAATTTTCACGATTTTAGCTTTTCTCTTTCTCACAGAATGCTTGTTATTTTTATAATTATCATATCATTTAATAATGTGTAAATGGAGTAAGCAGTATAGAATATATATTCAGGTTAAATAAACCAATTTATGAAAAGTTTATGTCGAAATGATATATTAAAATAAGAGCATATAAAAATATTTCAGGAACATCAGGCCTTTGGACTGGTTTCCACAACCCCCCAACCCTGACCCAATGGCTTTCATTTGTTAATGATTTGTGGAGAACAGTCTAAGTTTACTAAATTAATGCATTTTTTTCAATTTAAACAACTTAAGTAAAACGGTTGAATTAGTCAATGAGTTATTTCACTAGAGTATATAGATGTAAGTGTATTTCTACTTAAACATTGTCATGTCTTTGAAAACCTTAAGTGCCACTTTAATAATATATTCAAAAAGGAAATAAGATATTTAAACTAGTTACTAAATTTATTTCAGTGTATAGTTAATTTATACAGATGGAAAAAATATAAGTTTCATCACTTTCATGTATAGATTATAGTTATTTGATTTTTTGATATTATTCAAAGCAAAAAACAGAAAGAATCAACCAATAGTTAACTGTGAAACATAAAATGCTGTAATGTGAGCTCAGTCTTATAAATCCTTTCAGAAGATTTTTCCGTCCTTAGTACATGAAGTATGCATTAATTATAATTTGCCAGTGGACATAAAGCAATCAATCAATTTTTTTAAAGTTTTTTTTAGTCCCCTACCGACGAAGTCGAAGGGGACTTTAGGTTTGCACTCTGTCCGTCTGTCTGTCCGTCCGTCTGTCCGTCCGTCCGTCCGTCCGTCTGTCCATCCGTCGGTTCCGGCAAATCAGCTTTCCACACTTTTTTTCTTTGTTCTTGAAGATATTGATTTGATATTTGGTATATAGTTTTGCCATGACAAGTTATAGATCAAGTTCGAATTTTGTTCCAGTCTGATGATTTAGTCCAGAGTTATGGACCATAACTCTGGACCATATCTAATGTTAGAGTACTATGTTAAACCATATTTCTGTACAAAGGGAGATAACTCATTTTTTGAAAGACATTCTTTGGTACATTATTGGAAGAATTTTTTGGCAGGATTGTTTGTTATTTTGTATAAACTAATTTTCTGAATGCTATATATATATATATAAAAAATTATGAAGTGAAATCCTTTAAATAGATAATAATCTATTTTTATTAATGTATCTATTACATTACATTGTGTAGATAAAAATTGTTGACATTTTATAGATAAGTTACAAATCTATATTAGTTTGTGACAAATAAAAGAATAAATATTTGGAACTAGTAATTATATTTGATTATAATTTGAAAATACATGTACACTGTATTACATCATATCTAATGTTAAAGTGTTTTACACACTTTTTTTCATCATGCTTGAAGATATTGATTGATAATTGGTATATAGTTTTATCATGACAAGTTATACAGATCAAGTTCGAAATTTTGTTTCGGTCTGATAATTTTGTGCAGAGTTATGGTCCTTGGACTTGAAAAATTCACTCATTTAATCAGTTTTCCACACTGTTTTTAGTCATGCTTGAAGATATTGACTTGATATTTTCTTTTTGTTTACACTATGACAAGTTATAGAACAAGTTATCTTTTTGTTCCAGTATAATGAATTTTTACCCTGTAGGGGACTATGTATTGCCATGCAATACTCTCAGAATGCTTGTTATAATTAATTTGTCACAGGAACATAAAAATTAATCAATGTATTTATGATTTTTTTACGGAAGGGTAAATTGTTACAACTAGATTACATTGCCAACAGTTGTTTTCTAATTGATTCCATGGGGGGGGGGGGGGGGGGGGGTAGTTTTTATATGAATTTGTATCTTAATGCATGAGATTTAAGAGGGAACATTTTCCATTATAATTCAAGGGTCTGGAAACGGTCATACTTGCCAGTCATGACCTAAAATGAAAGCTATTTGTCCTATACGACAGCGGCTCTTTTCACAAAAAATCTTAAGAGTAAAAAAAAAAAGGCTCCCTGTGAGGCATTTGTGCAGGATTTAAACTTTGGACTGTTCAGCTTACCAGTATGTCCCTAGGTCATGTGACCAGTGAGGGACTTTAATTTACATTGGATCATTAGGGAATTATTTGAAAAAATTTAACTTTCACGTTCTTATATTTTTCTGTATGTTTTCAATGTCACATTATTATGTTATAACATCACTGTAAGAGGCAATTGTTCAATGACATCGTTTACAGCGTTTGACCTCTGGTCAACTGGTTTAACTCATTTATATAAATGAATTTTGAATTGGTCTATTTATGCATAAGATTTTGATAATAAAGATTAAATATTTATTTCTTCTCTTATGATATCTGATTAATATAGGCATGGGAAGTTATCATTCAGGAGACGGAGAAATTTGTCCAGCAATTAAAGAGAAACGTAGAAGAACTGACGACAGACACAATGGAAAAGCTGAACGAGATATTACATGAGAAAAAGACAGTGAAAAAACAGTATTTAGAGGATAGAAACCATCTAGAAAATGATTTCTCTAAGGTAATACAAAACATTATTATTACAATGACATACATATAGGAGCAGACTGAAAGTTGGGGGAGGGGAGGAAACTTCGGAGAGTGACAAGCAATACAAAAAATTCTATACTCTAATAGCCTAGAACATTTTTGTAGAAGTAAGTCAGTGTCCTCTTTCAATTTCATTTTTTGAATTCAATAATTTATTTTTTTTTGTCAATAGTGGGGGCGGGGGGAGGGAGGGGACAAAAACATTGTTTGTCCCCTTTTCCTCCTCCCCTTTACCGGTACCATGTATAAAATAAGGAAATATAAACTTCATTAGTTTATAATTTATCTTTGCTTTTTTGTATTTTGAAATTAAGCGGAACAAAGTGTATTTCAATAGTTAGTTTCCTAGGCAATTCAGTGGCGTAGAACGTTGCATAATGCAAATTATAAGGTTTTTTTTCTTCTTTCTTTTCAAAGTTCATTTTCTTTTAAGTAAATTTTATTGAATATTTCAACTTCTAAAGGCAAGCAACTACCAAAACAGATAATATATTTAATATCAAAACTAGGAACAGTTAAATTTCTTGAGCAAATACTTGAAAATTGAATATGGATAAAAAAGTCATGTAATAAAATAATTGTTGACTTTTGATACCAGCTGGTACAATGATTTATCAACATGATTAACCTCATCAAAAGTCAATAATTGTATAATAATTGTTATATTTTAAAGCAATTGAAAGATAATATAAAATTCAGAACATAAAATGTCATACACTTGAATTAAAATTTTCCCATAGGTACAGACAGCTGTTAGAACACAGAAACAAGAATATGATAAATGTCTGGGCAAACTTCAACAGGATCAGGCCAAACTTCAGGATCTTAAAGGGAAAGGTATAGTATCAGTGATATAAAACTAAAAGTTACTTCAAACCTTAAAACCTGGTTCTAATTGGCTGAACTCAAAAGATATTTTCAAAGCCCCCAACGATAACTAGAATATAAACAATAGATACAAAGCACCAATATAAGAATTATTGCAGGTACTAGAAGGTAGTTCAAATGTAGAAATAAGAAGATGTGGTATGATTACCAATGATACAACACTCCACCCGAGACCTAATGACATAGAAATTAATAACTATAGGTAACCGTATGGCCTTCTCAATGAGCAAAGCCCAAGCTGCATAGTTAGCTATAAAAGCCCCGAAATTACAAATGCAAAACAATTCAAAGGAGAAAAAGCCAATTACAACTTCTAAATAAAACATGTTTTCCCAGACTAAAGAACATAGAACACTTGTTAAACTTCAAAACATAGAACACTTGTCAAAACTTTAAAACATAGAACACTTGATAAATTTTAAAACAGAACACTTTTTAAATTTAAAAACATAGAACACTTGATAAATTTTAAAACAGAACACTTTTTAAATTTAAAAACAGAACACTTGATAAATTTTAAAACATAGAACACTTGTTAATATTTTAAAACATAGAACACTTGTTAATATTTTAAAACAAAGATCACTTGCAATTTGTTTAATTTTAAAATATAGAACACCTGTTAAATTTTAAAACATAGAACACTTGTTAAATTTTCGCTTCAGCATACTAACCTTACCTGCATATACTTTGATATTTTATCTTATTCTTTGTTTAAATTTTTAGCTAAATCTGGTGGAAAGTTGGACAAGGCTAAATTAGACCATAAAAAATCCATGGTAAAATTACATACAGTTCACAACAACTACGTTTTATCTTTAAAAGAAGTGTGCTTACATCAAAAAGAATATCTCAATCAGACTTTACCTGAATTTTTAGATTCTCATCAAGCAACGCAGGAAGCACTTGCTCAGCAATGGTAAGGGACCATCTAGATCTGTTATCTTAAGTTGGACCACCTTTTAGTATATCTTAAGGGTCAACAGGGTTTAGACACTCGTTATAAAGGTTTTTAAAAAGTATCATTTGTCAATTTGAAGTTCCCAGGAATTTTGTCACCACACATAAAAATAATTACTTCATACTTTGACAGTGGTTACAATTACTACTAGCCTGTACCTTGATGTTGGTTCTATTAACTGACAGTGTGTCCGTTGTAGTGTGTAATGTAAGAGGACTTTTAAGCTTGTGCTGCAATCATTATTAATGCATTAGCACTGTGATCAGAAAGTTTACTTTTGTTTTAAAAATCACACTTTCTTAAAAACAGGATGTTGACTTCTTGGAATAGAGACAGAAAAAGTGAAATCTGTGTACATTTTTATCAATAAAATTGAGAATGGAAATGGGGAATATGTCAAAGAGACAACAACCCGACCAAAGAGCAGATAACAGCCGACGGCCACCAATGGGTCTTCAAGGCAGCGAGAAAATCCCACACCGGAGGTGGTCCTCAGCTGGCCCCTAAATAAAATTGTGTACAGGTTCAATGAAAATGGACGTCACACTAAAAGCATTCTTAATTTTAGTAGTTTATTTCACATTCTTTTTTTCAAATAAATAATTCAGATGAACTCATAGTCTTACAAACATAACTGAGATAAATATTTATTAATTTTGAAAGCTTTGAAATGCATGATTATTTGATAAATCAGTGTCATATCTGTGGGCTCATGCTTTTTTGTATGTATGTAAAATGCGTGGTTATGTCTATTTTCGCCAAAATCTTTTTAATTAAATCTGTCTGAATATTGTTTTGACTCTCTTAATCATGTATTGCTAAACACAATTTAGTTGTAAGGCTTCAAAAATATTGATCAATGTCTGGTACTATAGTTTACCTCTCAGCTGCTTGCCAACACTACACAGAAAAGAGAGGAGAAGGATACCAAAGAGACATTCAAACTCATAAGTCCAAAATAAACTGACAATGGCAAAAAAAGAAAAAGACCAACAGACATACAACAGTACAAGAAACACAACATATAAAAACTAAATTAAACTTTTCACTGCAAAACATTTTATCGATGTGTGATCAATATACCTGTATTTATACACCGGAATTTTAGATACACCAAACCAGGCACTTCATATCCGAAAAACAGGCAATATATGCCCTCAATTTTAGAATTCATTCATACATTTTTGTATTATTCAAAATAACCAGTAAATTATGTGTTCTATCAAGGATCACCAGTCATTCACCTTTCATCTGATACTTTATTTAATAAAATATATGCTACATAGTTTTAGATTTACACCTATGCGTAGGAACTATTTTGTTTTAAATATGTACTACTTTCTAGTATGTTCTTTTTTGTCCGGACCCGATTTGGTGGTGTTACATCTTACAAAGTCTATCCAAATTTATTTTTGCAAAGAATTCTGCTCAAGCCGCTGCTAGGGGCCGACTTAAACTTGCAGTGAGGTGAGAGTTTTTTTTGCTCCATGTTGAAGGCCTCACTGTGACTTTGAGATGAAGAACAGCAATAAAAGCACGGTTCCTTTGCTTATTGTGTGTTTTTTTGTTGTGCATGAACTGATTTTGTGTCATGAATTAAAGATTTTTTATCGCACTATTGTATGCAGCAGTTTCTGAATTTGCGAAGATGAATTTGACATTGTACAACTATAGTAATGAAAAATGTTCAAATTTCTGAATATACAATGATTTAGATGTCTATTTATTATCTATATTTAAACATATTTTGACTGGTTATTATATGAGCTGCTTTTTTTCTGTTTCAGTAAAGATTTCCTGCAGAGTTTTTACAACAATACAAATTTTTGTAATAAAGATTTCTGTGATATGTCCAAACAAATATCCGACTCCATCGAAGAAATAGTCCCTGAAAACCACTTTGTACAGTTCATAGATGCCTTCAAGTAAGTCATTACTCTTTTTAGAAATAAAGTCTCCCTACCTTTTTTTCAGTTTATGGAGGCTATTTTACCAGAAATGGTTCATAAATTAATCAATTATTGTAAACTAACGGATTAATTTTCGAGAACAAATTATTTACGCCACTTTTGCAAGTAGAAAAATAATGTGACTACAATGTATAAATATTTGTGAAAATGTCAAACTTGTATCTTTTCTAGTAAAAATTAATCAACAAATACCAAAACACATCTCCGCAGTGACGGCTAATTTGGGCTTGTCATTTATAAAGTATCTGCAAAAATCAGTTGATTAACAGTATTACAAGATTTCATTTCTAGTTTAATTTTATCAACAGCCAATTTAAAAAAACATATTTCAACTGTTGAATGAAAAAAGTGTCTTAAATTTACCCTTTTTATACGACCGCAAACATTTTTTTTGGTTCATATAATGCTATGATGTCGTCATCGTCGTCCGGAGACACATTTGGTTTCCGGACAATAACTTTAGTTTAAGTGAATGGATCTCTATAAAATTTTTTAAGAAGGTTCAATACCACAAAAGGAAGGTTGGGATTAATTTTGGGGATGATGGTCCCAACTGTTTAGGAATTAGGGGCCCAAAACAAGCATTTTTCTAGTTTCAGGATAATAACTTGTGTATAAGTAATTCGATTCCTCTGAAATTGTACCACAATGTTTAATACCACAAGTAGAAGGTTGGGATTCATTTTGGGGGTTATGGTGCCAACAGTGTAGGAATTAAGGGCCAAAAACAAGCATTTTTGTAGTTTCCGGACAATAACTTGTGTGTAAGTGTAAGGATCTCTCTGACATTGTACCACAAGGTTCCATATCGCAAAGGGAAGACTGGGATTGAGTTTGGGGTTAATTGCCCCAAACATGCAGGAATTAGGGGCAAAAAAAGGGCCAAAAACAAGCATTTTTCTAGTTTCCAGACAATAACTTGTGTTTAAGTTTATGGATCTCTCTAAAATTTTACTACAAGGTTCCATACTACAAAGGAAAGGCTGGGATTGAGTATGGGGGTAATTGCTCCATGGGGGATTCAAAAAGTTTGGGGGGGATTTTTTTAAGGGGTTCATATTTTTTTTTCCAAAATTTTTCAACTTTCAAATTTTTGAAAAGATTCAAGAAGAAATCTTCAATTGCACAGTATTGCGCTATAGATTTGTAAGATCTTTGACCAATTCTTTTATTTTGTGTCAGAAACCTATATTATGTCAAAAATTTGATCACAACCCAAATACAGACAGTATCAAGCTTGAATATTGTGTCCAAATTTGCCCCGACTGTTCAGGGTTCGACCTCTGTGGTCGTATCAGGCTGCGCTCAGTGAAGCATTTTATTGTTTCAATGATGGTACTTATTAGTGCTCAATTTGATTGCTTTATTTTTCATACCATTTTAGATCCGATCCAATAGAAAATGTGACGTTTGAATTTGATGAAGGTTTAATAAGTAGCGTAACAGGTGATCTTAAAGCTGACACAATACAACTCAACGCAGAGACACACGAAGCCCTCAAAACAAGGTAGTTAATGAATACTAAATTAAGAAATTATTGTGTGCATATATTATTGCGATTTCGACATGACAGATCAAAACTGGAGAATAATTATTGCGATTTGAGGATAAGCTGCAGACAAATGTATTTGTCAGATTACAGAATGTGAGTTCTTATTATTGCGATACTCACCCAGTTGCATTAATCGCAATAATTTCTAAATTTACAGTAGTAGATTTTACACAAATAAACTTTTAATCTCAAGTAAAACTTTATGCCAAAAGATACGAGACTAGGATTTAATATTTATCTTCGAAAGTTGTTCTCAAAGGAAGGGGAGTTAAAAGTAATAATGACCAATTAAAGTAACCTTGCATCTGACAATCTAAAATTGACAAGTTGTAAGAAAAGAGTTTATAGCTAATTGATTCCATAGCTCCTTAATTTGTATGAGATTAAACGAAGTCCATGTTTTGCTATTGTAGACCCCAAAAATACATTATAGATGCATCTGTTCAGTTTAAAATATTACAATACTGATGATAATTAGGGTTAAAAAAAAAACATATTGAACTATTACATAGATCTTTGTATTTTGATGTCCTGTACTCAAAAGTCATATGAAATGAGTTTCTTTAAATTTTAATGTTATTAGAATTATTGAACCAGTAGTAGTTTGAAATCTGAAAAACATATATATATATGTGATATAAAATCTTTATCATAATCTAATTCAGGTTACAGTCAATTGAAGAGGAAGAAAGCACAACAAAACAAGAACTAGAAAGTAAGGAAGAGGCCCTGAAAGAGGTGGAGGATACTATCACACAATTAGAATGTAGTCCCAAAGATAAAGACAATAATATGTTATTGTAAGTAGTCTTTAACCTTGGAATTTAGTCCTAAAGAAGGGATTCCCTTAAATCACAACTAAAATGTAGTCCCAAAGATAAAGATAATATTATGTTATTGTAAGTAGTCCATTTACATTGGAATATAGTCCCAAAGTAGGGATTCCCTTAAATCACAACTAGAATGTAGTCTCAAAGAAAAAGACAATAATATGTTATTGTAAGTAGTCCTTAACCTTGGAATTTATTCCTAAAGTAGGGATTCCCTTAAATCACAGCTAGAATGTAGTCCCAAAGGATAAAGATAATATTATGTTATTGTAAGTAGTCCTTAACCTTGGAATTTATTCCTAAAGTAGGGATTCCCTTAAATCACAGCTAGAATGTAGTCCCAAAGGATAAAGATAATATTATGTTATTGTAAGTAGTCCTTAACATTGGAATATAGTCCCAAAGTAGGGATTCCCTTAAATCACAACTAGAATGTAGTCTCAAAGATAAAGACAATAATATGTTATTGTAAGTAGTGGTTATATGCTTTACATTGGAATATAGTCCCAAAGTAGGGACACACAACTAGAATGTAGTCCCACAGACAATACCATGTTATTGTAAGGAGTGGTTGTCTGCCTAACCTTAACCTTGGAATATAGCCCAAAGATAAGGTCAATGATATTCTGTTCTAAGTCATTCATAATTGATTTTTAGTAAAATAACGTAATTGGCTTAAACCTTATCACAGAAATGGTATAAAGTCCCAAAGTAGGGATACCCTTAAAGGGGCATTAGTTGTCAAAATCATGTTCACCGATTTGACTCATATTTGGTTCAAAACATACTAAAACATATATCCATATTGCAAAAAGTCTAAAATAAGCAATTAACAATACATGGACTCGATAATATGTATCAGCATTTCATGTGTATTTTAGTCTAGACACCATCTAGTTAACCATCAAGATGACCTCTAAAGACTGCAGACAATCATATAACCTGATATAAACATAAAAATAAATAGGTAGAGATCGCATACAATTGGATTTCTCTATGTCTGTTTGATTTCATATTGTAGTTTAAGAAGTATGTTTATCATTGTTTTTACCTGTATAAGAATGATGTTTTTGTGGATCAAATCGGTTAAACAAATGGTTCATCCTTGTTTCACTTTCAATGTTGACATTCTTTTCCTTTTAATAGCTGAATACATGTGTAACCCATCTCCAGCTAAGGGGTTTAATTGAGGGTCACATGAATACAGATTCAATGAAGTCGACTCATTCACTTGGCAGCGAATAATTCATCAGCAATGTTTCTTAGCTTATTTTGACAAAATTGAACCAAACTGGCTGCTAAAAGAGAATTATTAATTCACTATTTCACTTTCATTAATAATTGATCAAAGAAAAAATCATATTTATTTTTTTTATAGCTCGTAGCAAATGCCCCTTTAACATATACAGGTAAAATTTAGTCCTGAAGACAGTAATATTTTATTTTAAGTAGGGATTCCCTCAACTATCTTGAACATAGTTTTACCACTGAACATGTGTGGACATAGTGTTTACGGTGAAAATGAAAGTACAAAATGAAAGTACCAATTGATGAAATCCTTCTAGATTTTAACACATAGTTATGAAACATACAGTACATATTCATTTACAATTAAAGATTTTTCTGCAAGCACCTGTATCTGTGATCACTAGATCACTTTATTTTAGTTTACTCTTTGTGTTTTATATTCACACAGGTTCAGAAGTAAAATGTTGGCACATTAATTTGACAATGTTTTCAAGTGAAAAAGTGCTTATCTATAATATGTATAATGCATTTCCATTTAAAATGCTGGAAGTTATTTAATAGAGCCTTGCATACCCATTTTCCATTCAATCTAGGTAAAGTTTCCACAAAGGCTATGTATGGAAAGCACAATTCATGTGAACTGCTCCTCTCACTAACCAGATTCATGGCTATCAAGGCTATAGTATAGTGATAAGAAAACTTCACAAATTTTTTTTAATAATTTATTATTGATCAACAAAGTTTTATATTTATTGTAAATTCTGAAATTACTGCATGCATGTATTGCAATTGTAAAACAATGGGGGGAAAATTGAGATTAATTATTCAATTTCAGAAAATGAAGCATACAAATTATTCTATCAAAATTGAAAATGCTAGTTTTTATTTTTGCCTATCCATTGCAATTTTCTTATTGATAAAAACTTCACTTGGTGGTTGTGGAGGATAGTATTTTCTGAAGCAGCCCTGACTATAACAGAAGTTAGTTTTCAAGCCATTTTTTACCTGACACAGGATAAAGGTTTTTATTGTCAAGGTGTGTCATGAATATGACAGTTATAATTGGAATGGTTCTAACCACTCAAGATGTAAATATATAATTTAATTTCCAGAAAGAAAAGGAGACAACGGTAAGGAAATCATTACCTTGCTATGGGCTAAATGGCAAAAAAGGCATGTTCTGAAAACCATGTTTTGATGTTACTTAATAAATCCAATTGCAGTATTGTCCTATATTTTAGTATTATACATGATAATTTTCATTTTAACATATTAGATAGGTTTGGTTCTGTTACAGCCTTGGAATCCTTATCTTTATACATTTTCTATGACCTAATCCTTATCTTTATACATTTTCCATTACCCTTCTAGATGAGGTTCCATTCCAGTATCCTAGGAATTAGGCATTATGTGTATGAATGGTTGCGGTTTTAGTAGCTAGAGTTATACCTTATAAATATATTATGATATAGTACTGAATTGATAAGTACTTTAGATTGAGGGTTTTAAATTTGCAGATTTATAGTTGGGCGATAAAGAAAATTTCCAAAGGAGCACACAACTAAAAGTTGTATACAGTAACATGTATGTCATGTCTGATAAGGTGCCATACAAACTATATTCAGAGACTCAAACAGAAACATTTTTTGGAACAAGTTTTTACCAATTATGTTTCTACAATGAATTTTAGATTACCATCTATTAAATACCAATCAATGCATTTTAATTTCAAATTTCTTAAAGATTGTTGAAGCATATGTACTACCCTGGTATATACAAATGAATTGAATATAAATCTCTTCATGTATATATATATGGTTATATAGTACACTTCAAGAAATACACTCATTATAATCATCACAATAATGCATGAAAAATGCACACTACAATATGATATTGATGCACGTTAAGCCCTATATTTTAGGATGATATCAGTAGAAACAAACTAATAAAAAATACAAATGTTTACATGAAGCATGTGAATGACAATAAAATCCATAACAATAAACTTAGAAAAAAAAATTATAACAAAATCTATGACATGTAGTAATCTGACATGAAGAACTATGTTAACATGGTTAATATCCACTCTATCACTATGTCTCAGATAACCCTCCGCTTTCAATAATTAGTCCCTTGAAGCAAGAAATGTGCATTTAGCATGAACAATATTTTTTTGTAGAATATAAAATTTCAGTTTACCGTGTTAAAGAACTCCAAATTCAAGCCGTGATTTTTAGCTGCTTTTGTAGTACTTAATAGTTTAGGTTAACAAAATTGTGAAACGTGGTACCCTTCAAAAGATTTTTTTTTTAATTTGTGTACCATATTAATAGATTGGGGAGGAATTTACAATCCTCCTACTCTTGAGGTGTGTAGGCTACCATGAGAACACAGTGACTGTCTTAAGTAAATAAAAATTATTGAAGATGATACAGATATTAATATATCAATATGTCTAAATATTTTGATGGTAAGACGTACACTGAACATGGTTTTTGTAGTCTTTATCTTTCTAATTCTGAAGTGGCTTAAGGTGGTGAGGGTGTCTTCTGCCATCTTGGATTGTAAAATAGCAGAACACAATAAAGATTTTAAATGAAGTCGTTAAATTTCGGTGCAAGAATCTAGTTTACTAAAAAGAATTTTCATTGAAATGAACAAATTTATGTGATTTTAACTTGTAGTTACTAATATGTTTACAAAGGTACAACTTTTTTGATTGATTTCAATTTTTTTTTAATTAGCGTATTAAGGGAAGGTAACTCACAAGTTCAACAATTTATAAAGGAATCTACAAGGAATTTTTCAATTTTATGTTATTGTCGAAAAAACATACAGTGACTCAATTTTTCTTTTGATATTCAAAAGCACTTTATAAGAGCTAAAATCTTGTATATTATTTAAAAGTTTTAGCAAATTTTGATTTTTTTTTATCATTTTTCATTTATACTCCCATACCATTATAAACATAGCCTGTAATATTTATTTTGTAATTATTTGAGCTCCCAAATTTCTGTTTGAAGACAAATATTTCAATTTTTATTTTCGTTATAGACATCTACAGAAGAAACGAGAAAGACACAAATGTCTGTTAGAAGTTACAGAAACAAAAGCAAAGTTGGAAATACAATCACAGATGATTCAACGGATAAAAGAGTCACTTGATGCTGCAGGGGATGATATGCCTAAAATGTTAGACAATGGTGATGACTGTGATGTCTCTGTAGGTATTTTATTGTTTTAAGATACATAAAAGACTCTTGCATATATCTTTCCTTGAAATTATTATGTCAAAGTTAAATTTTAACTGTCAATTCTAAGATCCAAACTGTGAACAAAAGCCGACACAAAATTAATATAACATATGGTATGTGACAGTATCAGTGATTTAACATATATCTTATTAAAGGTGAGGTTGGCTTCTTTTACAGATGATAACCAGGAAATAATGTTTTCTAGCTTAGTTTTCATTAAGATAATATTTATTTAATTTTTGATTTTAAAAGAAAATGATGAGTTGTGTTATTTATAGATTTACAAGACTTTATTAATTAATCTGTACTTTTATTTTTGTTTTTGTTTGCATTGTCCCCCATGTCTATCATGTCTATCTATTAAACATGTTTATTTTCATCTCATTTATGAAGTAAGGCTAATATGTCATTGAGCTGTGTCTAAATGCAATTATCTCAGATACTGACCTTTGGGTGACCTTGTGTAAAAACTAACACATTTATCTTAAAGTCAGTATGATGAAAACAAAAATTTAAATGTGTGAATTAAATTCAAACTGCAAACTCCAAATTGATTTTTTTTATTTCATGGCCAGTTGACTAGTGATACCAACCAATCACCAAACAGTACCATAGCTAAGGCAGGGAAACCATTCAAGTCATTATTTAATAAATTCAAGAAAGCAGACGGAGGTGAGAAGAGCACGCACTATGAACCTAATGACGTCCCTGATGCTAATCATACAAATAATGCACATGAAGTAAGTATGAACATTCCCATAATTCATTGACTGTTTCTATGGTAATTAGAGACAAAAGTTTACACAGTAAAAAAATTTAATGTCGTTGATGCTATTCATACAAATAATGCAAAAGAAGTAAGTATGAACTTTCCCATAATTCATTGTCTGTTTCTATGGTAATTAGCGACAAAAGTTTACACAGTAAAAAAATCTAATGTTGTTGATGCTAATTATCATACAAATAATGCACAAGAGGTAAGTATAAACCTTCCCATGATTCATTTTCTGTTTCAATGTTCAATGGTAATCAATGACAAAAGATTACAGACACAGTTAAAAAATCCTATGTCAGTGAATCATACAAACAATGCACATGAAGTAAAGTATGGTTCCCATATTTCATAATCTGTTTCTATGGTACTAGGAGACAACACAAGAGAAGAATCATTTATTTGTCCTCTTCAGGTTAGGATTTGAGATAGCAATAATTTCAATTAGCTGGTATGGTTTATAACCCTGGAAATTTATTGACCTAAAATTTATTACTGTTTTAATTTATTTTGATATATTAATTTGAAGGTCAGATCTAGTTTAGTTACCTTTATATATTGATTTGAAGGTCAACTCTAGTTAATTTATCTTTATATATATTAATTCAAATGTCAGATCTAGTTTAGTTACCTTTATAGATTGATTTGAAGGTCAACTTTAGTTAATTTATATATACATATTAATTTGAAGGTCAACTCTAGTTAATTTATCTTTATATATATTAATTTAAAGGTCAACTCTAGTTAATTTATCTTTATTTATTAATTTGAAGGTCAGCGTTAGTTAATTTATCTTTATTTATTGGTTTGAAGGTCAACGCTAATTAATTTATCTTTATTTATTAATTTGAAGGTCAACTCTAGTGATGTGGAGGCTGTGTTGGAAGAACAGGAGTGGTTCCACGGTGTTCTGCCAAGGGAAGAGGTTCAACGTCTGCTCAATAAAGATGGTGACTTCCTTGTTAGAGAAAGTAAAAACAAGCGAACAAGTGAAGTTCAATATGTCCTGTCAGCATTTTGGAATGGACATAAACACTTTATTATACAGTATGGAGAGGTATAGTCTATTGTAGCAATTCAAACAGCATATAATATTATTTCAATAACTATTAACCAGAATAAATACTAGGCAATGTTGGTATACATTAGTGAGACAGCTAGCAATCCAACAACAAAAATAACGGCAAAATTGTTCAGTCTTTGTCTATTTTATCTTGATACTGTGGATTTATTTTTCGTTGATTGAGGAAAAATTGTATTTTCATGGATATTAGATTTTGCGGTTTTGCCAAACTCTGCTTACAAGCCTATAGAAAAATTGCACTTCATTGAACATAACAATTCCTTGTCTACCTTAACCAACGAAATCCACGAACTTGGTGCCCCACAAATGATAATGAATTCATAGTAATAACCAGACCATCAATTTCCATTAGAACAGATTTTAAAAGACTAGGCAATAAATTATCAAGTATGATGAATTAAAATGAATGTGGGGTATACAGAAGTGAGGCAGCAACCCAATATAAAAAAATAAACGAAAAAAAAATTTCCCTTTTTTTTTTGTTCGTTTAATGATTAAGACTTTATAGTGTAAACATATTTTATTAATTAAATTCAAGTTAAATAATGTACACAATTTGGCATTAAAATTTTAATACAATTGAATAATTAATAGGATCCAGAAACAAACTGTTAACTTATATTAATCCGTTTCCTAATTTAGACTTTTGTATATTGTTGAACATTTGAATTCAGGGTTCATCTTTACCCACAAAATCCATAAAAAAATCCCCCCACTAATGATAATAAAACCACAGCTTATGTCAGTGATTAACAAACCAATACAAGAGAGGTACTACCGTCTTTTGGGGTGTATAGTGCGCATTTGTGTGTAGTGCGCACCCCATTTTTGGTCCAAGAAACGTGAGAAAAAAAGTTTATGTTCGTATAAGACTCATAGACATTTGGAAAATTTGCATCTCCAAAATCGGCAAACAGGAAGTCTATCGGTAAACAGGAAGTTTTTTAAATGGACACTGATATCTGAGAATTCTGACGGAATACGTAATTAATATGAAATTGCAAATATTCTGACAAATGAATAAGAATTTTATTAGATTGAGATAAATCTTCATTTAAGTTTGTTTTTTAAAATCAAATTTAATAAATTGTTTGAGTATCAAGGACAAGATTAAATATCCAAATTAATGTTCTGATTGAAACAATAACATAATTACGAATCAGTCAAATGATTATCATTAACATCATTAGTGCTGTAATAAATTGTTAAAATCTCATTATTTTTATTTTTGTTTGTTGATTTTAGCTGTTAATCCGGATTATCACACCTCAATCAATGGGTCTAATCAATGTCTAAACAAATCAGTGACAGGTTCACCTTGTTCCTAATTAAATTCGTTCAGGTTACAATTATGGGATTATCATGTTTTCAATCATAATTTCTTGAAGGGTTTTAAGCAGTTGTTTAAAAGTTACAAAGTAGAAACGTATTTATAAAATAAACTTCTCATAGACTAAATCATCACTTTACAATTTCAAGTCACATGACTGGCGATCACCTGATACATTAGAAAAAATGGCGGTTTATATTTTCAAAACGAGTGTGGTTTATTCAATTTTCATACACTTTTCTTCTACTCTCCATGATGAACACATACAAAAACAGTAAGTTATGACAACAAGGAACACAGAGGTTAATTTAACCGACAATTAAAGCTTTATTGTGTCTTTATTAAAACATGGCAAATTTCAGGATTGCAAACAGATGGACAAATTTACACGATAAACGTAACTACACAAATATAAAATGTTTTTTATTTGAATAAAACATGACAAATCAAGATCAATAAGATACATATTACAAATATAATATGTAAAACATAAAAACAATCGAGGTATTAGCAAAAATATTCCGTACTCTTCACTTCTCCTGAAAATTTCTATGTTGGAGTTTGGACCTGAAAAAAGACTAAGAAAATGACTGTAGGCATGTATAATGTGCACCCCTCTTACAAGAAACATGACCCAGGGTATAAATGTGCGCACTATACATACCAAAAGACAGTATACACCTTATCACTATATTTGTCATCATTCCTGGAAATCACAGAGTATTCCTTAAAATTTAAACGTCACAAGAGAAAATGATGCTGCAAAAGAAAAAGGATTGTTGTATGAAGTCAATAGTTCAACTGTCACAAGTTCTCATGTCAAGTGTCACAGGTGTATTATCTAACTCTATAATTATCTGTTTCAGGGAGGATGGAGGTTTGAGGGAGATTCTTTCCCATCCATTCCAGAGTTAGTGACGATCCAGTATAAAAGTGGGACCATTGTGACAGCTAAGTCTCAGTGTATACTGAGTAACCCAATCATCAAAGAACAATGGCAGTTAAATAATGATGATGTCGCTTTAGAGATGAAGATCGGCAATGTAAGAATGATTCAAATATATATTTAAGGTCAAAATGACCATTAAAAATTAAATAATATGCTGAACAAAACACCTTAAGTGCTGATATATTTCATGAGCTAAAAGATGACTTTATAATTCGTTCACTTTCTTGTACATTACCTGTATTAGAATGCTTATGTGATTGTTCAATGACATAATTTACACCAATTCCAACTCATTCATAGATAACCAACTTGAGATTGATAATGTAACTGTGAAAACATAAATGCTTTCATTGAAAAATTGGCCAAACAGATCTACATTGACTATGTGAAGATGCTACAAAGTGCAAGTTTATCCTACACACAAGCTGGAGGTTTGGGCTTTCAGTCATAAAACTCAGTACTTGGAGTACAGTATTTTGATTGGTTGATTTCTGAGTCTGAGTATGATAGTGGTACTCTAAATTTTTTTATGACGGCAAGTAAAACCTGGTTCAACGTACCATCTTCTTTTGTATATGCCTGTACTTAATCAGGTCTATGACAGTCAACTGCTGATTGTTCCAATATTTGAAGAGATTAGCCCTAAAACTAACCAGTATTTATATCTACATTGTTAAATACGGAGATGTAGTATAAATGACAATGAGACAACTATCCAACCGAGTCCAAATGATGTGGATGTTAGCAACTATTGGTCACTTAAAGGCCTTCAACAATGAGGAAAACCCATTCTGTATAGTAAGCTATAAAAGGTCATACTTGTCAACTGACCCAATTTTCGCGGGTCACATCCAGAAATTTAAGAGCTCACCCAAGATTTTTCAATACCTCCCCCCAGGTCATCAAATAACCAAGGATTTCATCATATGACTGGTTTTCACCCATATTCTAGTTCCAATCAGATAACTAGATTTTATTTATCTAGTATTTATATAACAGAGTTATCTCCTGCTTGTATTAGATATATGGGTATCTAAAACATTTGTATTTTAAAATCCATGTGCTCTACAAATTGCCCAGAATGTACACAACAGTGTACATTCTATTTCTTTATCTTCCTCTTATGTATAGCACACTAGCTACAGCTGATTTCTAATCATAGTTAAGGTTTATAAAATTCATTAATGAAAATTGTGTGAATGAAACAATTAGATGTCATTGTTCTATATTGATATTTGATTAATAGTAAATTTTCAACAAATACAATGAAGTTAAAATTAAAACATAAATTGATGAAATTTTAAATAATTTTCAGCAAATACTTCACAATTGTGAATTGTAGAAAACTGTATAAAAGATTATAGAATATAAAAAAAAATTCTCTAAATACTAGAATTCAACTGGAAAAAGAGTGTATGCTTTATGACCTTACTTTTTCTTCCTCAATGCAGGTCATGACCTGCATTTTCATTTTTTGAGGTTGACAGGAATGAAATGCAAAATGTGGGACAATTCAAATGAGAAAACCAACGAACAACCTGATTTATTTTCTATTTATTTTGGAATATACATTTAAGTTTAGTTCATCTTGTATTCTGTATTCTTTAATATAGCTATATATTTATTCAGTGTTCTCCTCCAGGGCCTTTTAGCATATTTGCAATTGTTGTGTAATGGTATAATACTTGAATGTGAAGCTATCTGAAATGATTTTCTCACAGATTGTGTTGTGGATAAGATGCTATAATTTCTAGAAACATGATGGTATCTCTAAATTTCCTGTTTACCAGGATGTTATATGAAATTTCTTTATGAGAATACTGATTTACTTTGATAATCGAAAGTAATTTGTATTGTAACATATTTTATTCTGAAATTAAAACAAAATTACCACTCGTATAAAAAAATAGTTTTACTTTTTAGGGTAATTTTGGTGAGGTATACAAAGGCATATACAAACCTAAAAATCAGGTTGTGGCTATTAAGACTTGTCGAGATACACTCTCTGATGATCAAAGGAAAAAATTCTTACAAGAAGGAAGGATATTAAAGCAGTATGATCATCCTAATATTGTACAGTTCATTGGAATAGCTGCTCAGAGACAACCTGTCATGATTGTGATGGAATATGTGGCAGGTAGGGGGAAGTAGAATTAGTGGCAGAAATTAGATTTTTTTTTCTTATTTATTCATGCATATTTATTTGGTTTCTTTTAGACACAAGAGGACAACACTACACAACAGTATTAGTTGACTTGCTTTTCTTTCTATTATGACTGTTTCAAAATTTTTGGGTGGGGGGATGGGAGGCACTCAATTAAATGAATATGGATTATTGCATTTTCCTTAGAATTTTGTAAGAATTATAAGTAAAAAGTGGTAGGTCTTAAAAAAGTGCCTCCCATGCCTACTGTGTCCCATGCCTACTGCGTCCCATGCCTACTGTGTCCCATGCCTGGAACAGTCTGTATACTCTTACTTGTTTTTTTCCTGAAATATGTACTTTGGTTAAAAAATGGGAAAATTGGTAAAGTTATTTACACAGATTTATTAATTATCTACTAAACTATGAAATTATGAACATATTCCAACACGCTATCAAAAGTAAATATCTTAACTTTGTTGGAAAAGGAGAGTAAAGATACAAAGGTTGCAATCAAAAACCAAAAAATCAAAAGAAAAACAGAAAACACCAAGGCCAAAATTAATAGACCATGAAACACTTCACAGAAAACTGACTGATAAGGAATATTTAATATTCTTCCACCTTCACCAACCAGGTTGACAATAAAAGGGACAATATTGAAATGAGAAGACATGACACAACTTATGACCTCAGATGAGTTGTGACTCCAACCTTGGATTTATGAGTGGAAAGATATTGTTGGGTCCCATTGACTTTGACTTATCATGGTTTTACTGTAGTTTCTTTCTGCAAAACGAAAAAAAACAAAATTGTTTGACGAGAGAAGTAAAAATGTACTATTTAACCCAAGTTTTAAGACATAAACATAAATCTTTTCAGGGGGCCTCGGTGGCCGAGAGGTCTAAGTAGTTACTACTGTAATCACTAGCCAGTCAACACAGAGGTTGTGAGTTCGAACCCTGCTCGTGCAGGTGCACTCGACTCCAATCTTAATTGACTAGGATTGTCAGTTTTCCTATCGAAGGTCGGTGGTTTTCTCCGGGCACTCCGGCTTCCTCCACCAATAAAAACTGGCCGCCACGAAGTAGCCCAAAAGTGGTGCTTAAAAGTGGCGTTAAAACACAAAAAATAAATAAATAAATAAATGTTTTCAGGTGGTGCATTGTTAAGTTATTTACGGAAACATGGGAAAACTCAATCTAAGAAACAGTTAACAAAGATGTGTGAAGACGCAGCTAATGGAATGGCATATCTGGAAAATAAAAACTGTATCCATAGGTAAGGCCAAATTAACTTAATATAATATTAACAATAAAATAATATGATACTTCTTTGCTCAGAAAAGTCACAGAAGCAAAACCTAGGTGTTGTATTTTTGGTGTCAGCAGAATCAAGAACTGTTAACATTTTTGATAATGTCAGTTTAAGGGGAACCACAAATGATAGGTCAATGATATTTGGTATGCAGTTGTATTTGCATTGGCACATCTCATTTCCATTGAGATTATTTGACCGAATCCCTCTCAATCATGGTTCATTGACTTTTGAAACTTTTGTATAGTTTTTCATGACAAAATTTGTTATCAGATGAGTGGAAAAAGTACCGCTAACAATAAGTCAATGATGATTGGTATTCAATTGATAAACATGAGAACATCTCAGTATTTGACATTTGAATGAAATTCATCGTGGTTCATTGTTGCATTTTCATTTTCAGTGTCACAATAAATTTAGAAAATTTTAGTCTTCCAATAAGTCTTAAGCCATTATAAAAGTTTATTGGTTATCTAAAGGCCTTTTTTTCAACAAAAGCATGGACCCCTCTGTCAGCAGCCCTAAACAACTTAGAGTTTATGAAATATATGTGATTTAAAATATAAGATGGTGTTCATGTTAAAAAAACAAAAAAAATGGAAAAGGCCTTTTCAATTTTGCTATATGAATTCGCTAATAAGAATTTATTTTGCTAGTATCATTTAATTAGCTGGTATCAATTTATTGTGTTAGTATCATTTAATTAGCTGGTATCATTTTATTGTGTTAGTATCATTTAATTAGCTGGTATCAATTTATTGTGCTAGTATCAATTTATTTTGCTAATCTCAATCTGACTGACTGTTATTTTGCAGAGATCTAGCAGCCCGTAACTGTCTAGTTGGTGACAACAATGTTGTTAAGATATCAGATTTTGGAATGTCCCGAGAAGAAGAGGAGTATACTGTATCAGATGGACTGAAACAGATCCCCATAAAATGGACAGCACCAGAGGCCTTATTATATGGTAGGTTTGGCTTAATACACTATTGCTCTAGTAACCAACTACAATGACGTTCTGTGTACAAGTCATACAAATGATGATACCTTCTGTCCAAAACAGGAGGAAGACTGTTTTAACTATGTCAGCCCATCTGTAGGTCAGTTACATATATAGATTCTATTACTGCATCTAGTGTGATATGATATTTCTGCTCTCCAAACAGTTAAATTTTCATATTTTTAAACACAAGACTTTCCAATATTGTTAAATATTTAAAATGCAACTTTCGAGAGTGGATAAATATTGTATTACACATTATTTGGAGGTGGAATCTGTTTCTCCAATGATTTATAGGTTGATATGTAGACAAACTTTATCGTTCCTCTTCAATGATCTGCTAAAAGATTTGTTCTTTATATGTGACATCATCAGGCACTGATGCCTTCTTTCGTGACAGCACAATAGGAAAATCACTGGAGCAAGAAAATTTGATGTCATAGTTAGACTTTTACCAATGAAGAACCGAGATCAAACAAACCACATGTATATTAAAAAAAAAATAATCACCAGGTCAGGAAAGGGATAAATCAGCTAAGAATTAGAGAAACATTTCTATCGCATTTTCCTCACATTATGTCATAGCTTCTTTTAACATGGCACCAGAATTCATCTATTTTGCCATAGTGGTCCTTTGATGAGATTGTAGCCAAGAAACTCCCTCTTGTTTTCAGAACCATAGATAATCCCAAAAAAAAGATGAAAAACTTTTCATACAATTGTTCTAGACTATACATATGTATATTGCAATTTAGGACATGATATATTGTTTAGACACTTTATTTTGTAAGACCATATTTTGACCTATAGATTTTTTCTTCATAGAATTGCTGTCTCATTGATGCCAACCTGGCTGCTTCTTTAAATTATACAAATTAAATAAAGAAACCCTAAAAATGTTCTATAATTAATGAGTATGCATATTTCGGTGAATCCATATTCATTATTTTCATATGTAAATATTGTTTATTATTTTACAGGTAAATACACTTCTCTTTGTGATGTATGGAGTTTTGGTATATTAATGTGGGAGATATTTTCTGGTGGATTAACACCATACCAAGGCATGTCGAATGCTCAAGCCAGAGAGAGAGTTGATGCAGGTATAAATAAATACTTAGTTTTAATTAAGCTTGTTGTCTCTTTGACACATTCCCTGTTTCCATTGTCTATTCTATAATTACTTTAATTAAGTAACAAAATTTACAATGCATCTTCATCAGTAAAGTTCAAGGTTTCCATGAGGATTGTATCCAAGAAAATAAACCTATAAAACTATGTCATAAAAAGGCCTTAGACTAGAATTGAAATCAGTATTGACTGTTTGTTTTTGTTGTCTCATTAAAGTAATGTTGTCTCATAAGTCAATTCATTTCATTTAACAGTTGTTAGAAATTGTAGGACAAACAAAATAAGGTATGATGGCATTTCATAAGAAACCAGAGGGAACACCCAATACTATTTATAACATTTTTTTCATACAGGATATAGAATGCCAGCATCAGAGGGAACACCAAGTACTATTTATAACTTTTTTTTCCCTACAGGATATAGAATGCCAGCATCAGATCTAGAGGGAACACCTAATACTATTTACAACTTTTTCCCCTTACAGGATATAGAATGTCAGCATCAGAGGGAACATCCAATACTATTTATTACTTTTTGTCGAGCCTGCGACTTTTGTTGCAGAAAGCTCGACATAGGGATAGTGATGCGGCGGCGTTAGCTAACTTCTTAAAAGCTTAATATTTTAGAAGCTAGAAGACCTGGATGCTTCATACTTTGTATATAGATGCCTTATGTTACGAAGTTTCGGTCTGTCATATGTCCATTGTCCTTGACCTCATTTTCATGGTTCAGTGACTACTTGAAAAAAAAAAAATTTTTTGTAATGTTAATTTCTTTCTTATTATGAGTAATAGGATAACTATATTTAGTATGTGCGTACCTTGCAAGGTCCTCATGCCCGTCAGACAATTTTTATTTGACCTCGACCTCATTTCATGGATCAGTGAACAAGGTTAGGTTTCGTGGTCAAGTCCATATATCAGATACTATAAGCAGTAGGTGTACTATATTTGGTATATGGAATGATTGTAAGGTGTACATGTCCAACTGGTAGGTGTCATCTGACCTTGACCTCATTTTCATGGTTCAGTGGTCAAAGTTAAGTTTTTGAGTTTTGGTCTTTTTTTCTAATACTATATGCAATAGGTCAACTATATTTGGTGTATGGATATATTTTATGATGTACATGTCAGTCTCGCAGGTTTAATTTGACCTTGACCTCATTTTCACGGCTCATTTCTCAGTGTTAAGTTTTTGTGTTTTGGTCTGTTTTTCTTCAACTATAAGCAATAGATCAACTATATTTGTTGTATGGTAGGATTGTAAGGTGTACATGTCTGTCTGGCTTGGTTCATCTGACCTTGACCTCATTTTCATGGTTCATTGGTCAATGTTAAGTTTCATGGTTAAGTTTGTTTCTTAGATACTATAAGCAATAGGTCAACTATGGTTGGTTTATTGAATGATTGTAAGGTGTACATGTATTTTTCGATTGGTTTATCTGACCTTGACCTCATTCTCTTGGATCATGTTAAGTTTATGTGCTACTTGTAGTAAAGCTTTATATTTAGGACTATCAACATAAAATCAATGGTTAGTAAAGAAGTCGAGATATTTCAGTGTGTACACTCTTGTTTTTCCCTACAGGATATAGAATGCCAGCATCAGATGGAACACCAGAAGCTATATATATGCTAATGAAGAAGATATGGGAATATAACCCAACAGACAGACCACATTTTGAAGCAATCAGAAAAGAATTGAAATCTATACATCATAACTTATAGCAATGGAGTGAGCTGAATTGTGATATTGTTCGAACTAAGGGCTCTGTACAGCTATTTTTAAATTTTTAATGCAAAATCATGTACTGTGAAAAACTTTTAAATAACCGTTTTTATGTGTTACTGTTTCCATGGAAACCTTATATTTTATAAATACAAACAATAGTAGGTTTCAAGAAATAAAAATTAAATCATAGACCTTTATTTTTGTTAAAACAATTCAACTTTTATGAAAAATGCACTTTGTGGGTATGTATAGGGGATCTCCATTTCTGTGAGAGAAAAAAATATTTTATTGTCCCATTATTCTCTATTCATTAATTTTTGGGCCCATTTTTCTCAATTTATAATACGGCCCATTAATCTGTTATTTGAAAACCCCATCCAGACCCTCCACTATGGCCTTTCTTACTGCTTAAAAGACTGAAAATCTTTATAATTGACCCATATGTTTACAGTGAATTATACTATGGTAAATTGTTAGTAATTACTTACCCTCCACTTAAACCCACCCCATGGACAAAAAAATCAACAAATGATATTTTTTAATATTTCAGGGCAAATTTTTATATACAAAAAATAGTGCGTCACCTGTTTATGTTAAACATTTTGTTTGTAATTTGTAGACATATATTGTCTAATGCCACTGATATAGCGGCACACTTTTTTTTTTTAAATTTTGAAAAGAATATGGAAAGTTTTAATATAGATGTATGTTGATGTAAAAAATGAGTTAGCTCAGGTCTTGTTTATTCATGTTAGTTGCTGTTATTGAAGATCGTGATATATTATAGAATTCAGACAAATATGTTTAATTTGAAATATGGGCTTGTATATTTCTTCAACCTTTAGATATTTTATCTTTGAGTTAAAACAAATGTCATCATGCCTTCCATAAAAAATTCCAGAGATATTAAGTTCTATAGAATGAGGTTTGACTGTAATGCAAAATATCAAAACTAAGACAATGACAGGAATGTTTCTTTTTATTTTGCTTTTTTAAATTAGGAAATTCTTATTTTATTTTGTCTTTGAAAATATTTGTATTTTTTTCATTAATAGAACAATCTTGTTTGTCAATGAGGATATAGATGACAATTCATATTGTTTCAGATCTCTAAAGAACTAGGGGTAATTTCATTTTTCTTCCCACAAATGAGAATAAAGTCACGTCATTGGTTGAATTTCAATTGTTTGGGACATTGTAAGACAGTGTTTTGGTGCAAGCTTTTGAAAATATTACCCAGAATGCATTAGATTCTGAAACGGTGAATTGCCCAATTAATAGGATTCCATTGTACTACTATGTTTGTCAATCAATGTAAGACTAAAAGTAAAAAAAAGAAATTATTGTATCATTGTGTAAATTTTTAATACTAAAATTTGTCCTTTTTTAATCGCTACTACATTAAAAAATTTGCAGTAGGAATGTGAGGAAGATTTTTTGTTCTCACATTTGCAGATTTGCTTTATGAAAATTTATTCTATATCGGCTAATGCAATAATAGTTTTGAGTTCTCAATATGCACTAATCGTTTTTTTTTTTGGGTGGAAAAATTCATTAGTATAATTCATTATATATGACAGGATTATTATCAATTGCCAAAATGTTTCTTGTTGCAGTTGGACAATGCTCATGAATTTAAAAATTTAGAAAAACTTTTTTTATTTTATTTATGTAGATGTTTTTAACAGTGTTTATATGAAATTTGGCCTTCTGAAACTGTCTAGTAGTGGGATCATTTTTACATATAAGTTATTTTAATTAACTATCTTTAGAAAACAAAGATACAATTCCCAGGTTCATTTTCATATGTATTACTATATACTGTAAATTCAGAAATTTTTGTGAGGTTTTTATACTTGCAAACAATGTGAAAGGATAATTTTAGCAAAAATAAAAAATGCAGTTTTAATATTATACCATTATTTACATGTAGAATTTCCTAATCATGCTTTTTTGTCTATTGTCCCACAATCCCAATAATATATGCACCCACAAATTTTTGAATTTACAGTATTTTTATTTTTTTAATCAATTGTGCCTTATACAGGGTTTTTATATTGAAAGTGAATTTATCACATTAAATCTTTTAATATCTCAGGACAGTTGGCATAAAAAAAAAATACAATATGTAAGGCTGTTTGTAACAAGCAAATATATTGTTAATAAATAAGAATATTGAAAATATGGCCACAGTTGAGCAAGATGTTTTTGATCAGAATTTGTCATCATGTTTAAGGTTTGTCCAACTCATTTTAGAAAATGTTTTTTTAGAGGCTATATTGAAGATTGAAAATTGCATTATAAAAGATGTGCATACCCTCTACTTATTTTTGAAACAGAATTTTGCAAATATAGGGCACCAAAGATTTGTTTTACCATCATTACTTTTGCAAAATAAAGTTTTCTTCACAAATTTCTCCAATAGTACCGTTTTATCAAGACTACTGTCAGAATATGTAGAGGATGGTCGAAGGGCTGAATTTGACTAAAATCATTAACTTTCTCAACAAAAAGACTTCATATTTGGTCAGCAGCCCAACAATGATCGATTGTGATGTATGTGCACTTTTCAGATCGGTCTGACACATACATCCTGTTTTGATAGTTTTAGTTACAAGTAGGGGTATGCATAGCATGACAATGCATGGAACATCTTATTTTAGACGTAGGGAAATCTAATAGCACAATACAGAATTATACATTTTTTTTAATATGTTGGTAGGTAATACAGAAATTGTCATTAAAGATTAAAGTGGGACTAACAGTAGACTTCCATTTCACATTAGGTACTGACCAATATGTACATTACTTTTATATGAAATCAAGATGACCTTTCTGTTTAGATATATATAAACCAATTGAAAGGGCAGTCTGTCATGACTTTTATAACAACTTTATGAATGAACCATAAAATTCATATAAAAAAAAATTTACAAAACCGTAAATTGAAGATAATTCCATTGATAAAGACATGAAATTCCATCTAATTATGTTACATGAACTGTTATCGTTGGTTCATGTCTGTTATATTTGTTTTTCGGTAATTGTTTTGTTTTAAATTCGGCTGTTAGTTTTCTCAATTGAATTGTTTCATATTTTTCATGTGGGGGGGGGGGGGGGGGGGGCTTTTGTAGCTGACTATACGGTATGGGTTTTTCTCATTGTTGAAGGTCGTACGGTTGCCAATAATTGCTTACGTCCACTTTATTTGAACTTTGGTGAATAGTTGTCTCATTGGCAATCATACCACATCTCCTTATTTATTTTAATATTGTAACATGTATATAATATGAATTCGTGACCTGAAATTACATTATGTTTTTGTATATGAAATTAAAGCTCATTAATCAATACATTGTATTTTGTTACATGATGTTGATAAAATTTTTAATTGAATTGTCAGATCTTTTTAAATGTTAGATTTTATGTAATCTTGTGTCTGCTTAACATTTTTTTTTTTTTTTTTTTAACAATAACAAATATTTTTATTCAATCATTTCCTGATATATAAATACCTAAGTAGCCCAGGTCGCATACTTAGGGGCCCCTGTATTTTAACAGCCTCACTTGACCAGGGAAACAATCAAATGAATTTAAACTTACAATAGTTTTACATACATATATTTAACATTTTTTTAATTCTGTGATATTTTGTTATTCTATGCATTTTTGCATCCAACTTTTTTAGCATTGTATATTGTACCTAATTTTTTTTAACAATCTAAAAGTGTATGTATTTTTGTTTTAACAAAATTTTTTTTTTATTAAAAACCATATATGAGCTGAGTCGGATAGAAATCGACCTTATGCAACTTAATATCAATACATCTGTTAACCTATTTCGGGTTGAAAAAATCTTTACTGAAAGTATGTTACTGTTAGCAAATTGAGCTGTAATAAGAACCCTACAAAACAGACCAACATTCTTCTTTTATTTCGTATTTGAACGTTCTAAAAATCAAACAAAGCCTTAAACATGTACATGTATAGGTGCACTTGCATAAGGTCGAGTTCTATCAGATGCAGCTCATATTATTATATTTAATTTAATATTGAACTTTTAAAGCTCGACTGTCTGCAGGAAATACACACTGGAAATATTACTTGTAATTTTGGTCATTAGACGGCATGTTGTCACAAGATAATGCATTGTGGATTCATTATTATTTGGGGGTTCTAAATTCAGTAGAGTTTGTGAGTGTAGCTGAACCATAATTTACAGGGTTCAGCAACATATAAGATTCTTAAAGCAGGGGTTCAAATTAGTGTGAGTCCGAGGTCAGAGACCTGTCTTTTCTAGGAGGGGACTTTTCATTTTTAAATTACAAAAGTCAAGGACCCACCATTCTTTACACTGATGCTTGATACACGACCATTGATTTCTTATGGAGGACCCTTCACTTAAAATTTCAAATGGTCCTGGACCTTTCATTATTTAAAGCAAATTTGAACCCCTGTTAATAAAGAATGTAGAGTTTGTCAAAATCACAAAATCAAGTATCCATGAAAAAAGATTATTTCCTAATACATGAAAATTGGTATCTCCCAAACACAAATGATTCCACAGTAATCATAGTATCTCCCAAACACCAAAGATTCCACAGTAATCATGGTATCTCCCAAACACCAATGATTCCACAGTAATCATGGTATCTCCCAAACACCAATGATTCCACAGTAATCATGGTATCTCCCAAACACAAATGATTCCACAGTAATCATGGTAATAGACTCTTTCATGGTTATATGCAAGCATGTTTTAAAAGCTATAATACAACATTAGAAGGGCAAACGGACAGTTGTTTTTACGTCATTTTTTTTCTTTTGTGGCTTTTTAGTAACAGAAAAATTGTTCTAAACATTAGCTCACAAAGCAGAAAACAATGCTAAAATAATATTTATTTATTTTGTAAGTTCCAAAATAATTTATGTAACTTTTGAATTGGAATGAATTGTATGGTATCCACCCATAACCAATTTGCTGTTAGGAAATTCTATAGATTTATAATTTATTGTGTGAATACAATGTAAAAAGAAACGATAGGTATAACGTCAATGCAACAGCAAACCAACTACACAAAAAATCAAGAGACAACTAACATTTGTATTGCAATCTTTGATAAGAGACACTAATTTGATATAAATTATTATCTTCCTCCCTTCACCTATATTACATTGATCAGTCACTCTGTTATTCTCTTATCAAGGCTTTTTGAGGTGAGCAGAACTTATCAGCATCATAAACAAAACAGAAAAGCAGCATCTTTTGCATGGAGCAAAACCTGTACAAAATTGGTTAACTGATTTTTTTATAAGCTGGTATGAATACAAGGGAACACACTGGCAAACTCCATGACATTGTATCTTGCCATAACTTAACCTTTGCTTTTCTCAGTGTTTCACAAAATTATTGTTTTCCTATTTAGAAATAAAACATGCTGCTGAGAATGTACTTTACTATAAAAAGATGGCTTGATATAGAATTTCAAGATGGTTGGTCCCAATACTTGTTTAAATATTTTTGAATATAATTAAATAGAAAAATTCTACACTTTGAATTAGCTTTTACACACAACAAAATGAGATTTGAAACAAAGTTGCCTCCCCTTGATAATTTGATTATGGGTCATAATCGTTAAATGTCTTGGTTGCCTCCCCTAATTAACTTGATTTGGGGTCATAACCTTTATATGTCTTGGTTATGTTTCTTAAAATATAAGACAAGTCAATAATTTTTAAGAATATCTTGGTTGCAATGAAATACCGTGATTTCCCAGTTAATAAAAATTCCCAATGTCACATGTGAAATAAATCTGATAATTACACTACTCTGACTGTCATACAATAATGGGTGTTGTCAAGACATTGTCTATGATGTTGCATCAAAACAAATTAGGAATACGTAGAATTCCTTGTATTTTCTACTTTATTTCCATTAAAAAAACAGTCAATGTAATAAAAAGAAAAACTATTAAATCAAAGAATTCAAATATTGAAAAATATTTAACTTGTGACTGAACAACACTCAAAATTAGTGTGTTGTTTGGTCACTTGTTGAATATTTTTCTATATTTTAATTTTTCAATTAGTTATTCTATATCTGTTTAATTCTTCCCTAGATACAATAGTGTACAGTGATATATTATAGCTCAATCAAGTAGCTCAGTCCAGTAAATAATGTAATGTTAACATATTCCATTTTCATAATTTTTTCACATATACTAATACACATTATTAGTTTTAAAGACTTTTTGTGATGAAAGTCCATATTGAAGGTTAATGAAGAGGAGAGCTAACACTACATCATAAAATGTTATATTTGTATATTAAGAAATTTTTGTGATGTTTTTATTGTTGTGAAAAATTGCAAAAGGATAGGTTTCGCAAAATAAGAACTCGCATATTAAATTTTGACAGCATTATTGGTGTGCAGCATTTTCTGCTGGAATTCAACATGCACTTTTCTCCACTGTTTTAATATCACAAAAATAAATGCATGCAAAAATTTCTGAATTTACAGTACTGTATATATGAATAATTTACATTTCATTTGAAATGACAAATAGAATAGATCTAATTTTATTCTCTCATGTTGATTGTATGACCACATCAGGTTTATTTATAGAATCTTGTCTCTGCCTGTCCTCTCTGCTATTGGCCCACACTAAATTTTATCATGAATTTTTTTTGTGCACAAAAATTGTATTTTTCAAGTGTTTGGTTTTTTTGCACACATGTGCTTTTATAATAAGAAGTTATTCCTTGTTAAAAAAATTCCAATTATAAAAATAAAACAAAGAATTTTATTTTGTCAGTTCATACTGAGTTATCTTTGACATTTTTTAGACTTGCCTCTGCAAGTTCTACAAAATCTTTCAGAAATCAGAGCAGTCTCTGACTTATACTGAGCAGATGTACCAGTTCCTTAGAAAACAAAATCTTACCAGTCATCCAATGTTTCAATCAGATAGAATTTAAGATCCTGTGCCAATACATACAGGTACCTTCAAAATTTTAACTGCAAATGTTCTGTATTTGAGTCAGATTGTCAATGTTTTAGTGACAATTTGACAAGGATTTTATAAATCAACTTGACCTTTAGATATTACAGATTTATATTACTGTTGATGCTTTTTAATGAGTCTCATGCCTCGTTTTTAGAATTATTGTTTTTTTAATTAATTTAATTGTCTAATCTACATAAAACGTCATTGTGTATCTTTATTTCATGCTTTTATATATTTAAAACTCAAGGTTGCCAAATATGAAAAAATAGTATATATTGTAAATTGTTGACGCTTATGTTTAAAATATAGTATTGAAAATATTGTATTAGTTTGTGTTGTTTTAATGAAGCCAGAGAAAGCAGAGTATCCCTATATGTGTTGACCACATGTCGAACATCTATTTTTTTGCCTAGGTTACATTGAATTAACATATGAATGAAAAGAGGCAAAGGAAAAAGTTTCATGGAACTCCATTCCAACAGACATCAAGGGGTCACTATATAACCCATGACAATATGTTAAGCTCCAAACTACTCTTTGTTTTGACCTGGGCTCTTGGTCATAAAACTTTACTCAGTATTTGGAGTATTAAATTTGTGCTCGAAACACCAAATCCAATATTGTGATCGGTTGAATTCTGAGTCTTGAGAACAATAATCGTATTCGATTTTAATGACCCTAAGGCCAGATGTGAAATGATTATGCTGAGACAATCAAAGAGCTCAAGGCCAAATTCATGTTCACACTTACTGAATTTGAAACTAGAACTTCATATAAATAAAGGTCCAAATTTATCAGGCCATAATAATCAGGGATATAAATTTGGTACACCAGATAAAGTTTCCTCTACATAAGTCAGTGGCACTCGACTATAAAAAGTTTGAAGCCAAATCAAATACAAATTTGAAGAGCATTGAAAACCCAAATTTCTAAAAGTTTTTTTTCTACAATCAGGCTTAGGCCAACTTTAGCTGAAGGATAGATAAACCTTAGTGTTTTGTATAATTGCACACTTTATAAACCAAACAAGATGTTTAGTTTAAATCAATGAGACAGCAACTCAACAACAAAATAAATTTAACAATGAAATTTATACAAGAACATAGGGTCTATCAAGTACTGGTAAGTAAGCAGCAATTAGGAGTAAGAGCAAAGACTGGTCAGCTCTCAGACAGAATAATGTGTCTTGGTAGTGTGACATGTCTTCCAGCTGATTGCCTTGTTAAACAACATATTAATAGCATGTTAAAAACCTTGCTCATCCTGTTGGTCTAAAAAAATTTAAGAATCCATTTGAGTATCAGTCTTGTACAGAGCAAATCACATTAACATGTTCTTGTCCTATTGCCACTGGACGTCAAGCAAACAACAATCACTCAATGTTCTTTTAGTCCTGATATGTATGTAATATTTGCCACTGGAATTACACAAAACCATCATCATTTATCAATATCATATGTCCATGGCATACGTCAATCACCTCATCATCCTGAACCTATACAAGTTGTAATTTAATTCAACAGATAGTATGAAAGATCAGCCTTCAAGTTGATTCAACACTTAATTCATTAACAGACAAAAATTTAGATATGAACATACAGCCACTACAGACAAGATCTCTGACTTGGGACTGACTGATAAAGATTTGGCTGGGGGAAAACTGATTATATAGGGACTCCGCAATCCTTAGTTAAGACCTCCCAACTTTAAGTTTTCCTGACTTCATATTTGTGTTATTGCCATCAGTTGGACATGTGTCTCAGTCTCTCTAACTCACTGAGCAAATTGGAACTAACAATGGTCTGAAACTTCTCATGTAAAAGAACGACTGATTCAGCAGCACGTTTCAGAAATAATCTTCCAATTACTAGTAAACAAATTCGAAAGTCATGCCCTTTTCAGTATAATCTACAATCAATTTTATTTGAAGATTTCTTGTAAACAGAGTCACTGGTCCATGTCAGTAAGAACATCCAAGAAAGAAGAACATATATTACACAATACACATAGCTGTAGCTGGAAATATTAAAAAAAAATTGGGTCATTTTGGTATTTAATGACATTTCAATGCAGCTTCAACACAAAATGCATGAAAAGACGAACTATAGAAAATATATATCCAAGCTTGGACTAATTACATGCCCCAGTTCCAAGAAATGGTATACTAGAGGGTATGGATGGGGGTCCTTCATTTCTGTATTCTTTAATTTTTTCGCTCATTATTCTTTATTTAAAAAAAAAATAATGGCTATTCTGTAATAAGTCTGCATAGGACTATTATACTAACAATATATTATGTCACAGAATTACTTGATAACTGTATTCTGAACAATGTTCTTTTCTGTAATCAGTATATGTTTACCCAATTCATTAATGCTTGCAGTTATTCTTATTATTTTAGCCCCCCATTATTCTCTGTTTTTTTAAATTTTTTTGTCAATTTTTCTCTATTCTTTATTATTTTGCCCATTATTCTCTATTCTGTAAACTCCATTCACACTCTCATAGTAGTCGCTAGATGATGATCAGCAGATTACATGACTTGCGACGTCCGACGTCATAATGTAGCTTTAGAAACGTTTATAGTTAGCATGCAAACAGTCTTTGTTTATACACAATGAAGCTATGAAAGTGAAACATTTTGTAAGTAGAAGCTTATTTAATCATAATTTTAACCGTTATTGAGTCGAACTGATTTTTATACAACGTTTTCGACAATAAGGTATTTAATTCATAGTGTCAAGTCGGAGAAAAAATATAATCATGGTTTGTTTTCTCAAGTCAGTATGGATAGCAAGTATTCATTAGTCGTTAAAACCATTAAAACAAGTTCAGATGAAAAATTTTGTCCTGCAATTTCTGTCCTGCCTTTTTATTTTTTATGTTTCACTCTATTCGGTCCTGCCTTTTTTTTTTAAAAGTTAATCCTGACTTTTTTTTTGCAAGTGTCTCATCCTGCCTTTTTTTTTTACTCAAAACTCCTGTTCTGCCTATTTTTTTCAAATTTCATCCTAGCCCACCCCCCCCCCCTAAAAATCAAATGGTAGCTCCCTAAGTTGATGAAAAACAGACCCATAAAATTGTCAAAAAGAATAACGACGAAAAGACAAACAACATTTGCAAGACACTACACAAAAAAAAAAAATAACATGGAAAGTACATGCACAGTTGGGAAGAGGAAATCATATATTTTGTCGTAAATGAAAATAGTGTTATCCTTCATATCAAGTTCAAAAGGATAGCTTCGTTAAACGTATTCGCTCAACTTCTTTTCATTCTTCCTGAGATGCTCATGCATGTACACAGTCGATCTAATATTAAAACAGGAACAAGTCGGCGAGAAGAAGCGCACAGTTGGATCCCAAAGGAATACCGATTGTCTGTTTGAAAACAAGTTTTCCAAACGTAGCAACTATGTTGTAAAAAAAATCAAGCATTTACATGATTTCAGTTTAAGATCACTTTTTATTTGAATCAGAGTGTTTTAACTTAGATTGTCTAAATTTGTGTGATTTTTCCATTCACTGACTTGGCGTACGTCGTCTTCGTCCTCAATCCGTCTTCTCTGAAACTACTGGGCAAAATGTTACCAAACTTTACCTAAATGTATCTTTGGGAATCTAGTTTAAAAATTGTATCCGAGGATTTGATCCATCTGCAAACATTGCTATTGATGCTATAAATATAAGCAGAAGTCCATTACTAGGTCTAGTAATGGACTTCTGATATAAGATAGAGGTAAAATGGAGTTTTTGGCTTACATCTCAAAAACTAAAGCAGTTAGAGCAGAACTGACGGAAGTAAAAAATATCAGAATATCTTCTATGGACTCTGATTTTCAGAAAAATAAAAAAAAAAACATTTTGGAGTCATTGCCCTTGAATTTGCAGCAAATTTCATAGCTTTTGGTTAATATCAACATTTCGAGCAAAATTGACATTAGAAAAAATATCAGCAGGTTATGGTCTATCTCCATTTTGGAGTTATTGACCATTTTCAGCAAATTTTGAAGTTTGTTCTTATTTTCTAAAAAACTATAATAGAAGATAGTGAAAAATTTTAATTAGTAAAAATGACTGGAACATTAAGATCTTTAAATAAGTTGATATGGAGGAAATCGTTAATAGGAGTTATCTCCTTTAAAAGTGATTTTTTTTAATTTTTTTTTTTGTTGGAAATTATAGTAGATAAAGAGAAACTGAAAATAGGAAAAATGTTCAACAAATCCATTATAGGGGTTATTGCCTCTGAAAGACGATTTTTACTAATTGTTTATGTTTTTGTAGGAGCTATAATAGATAAAGAGAAATTGAAAAAAAAACCCAAAAATGTTCAGCAAAATAAGATCTACAAATAAATCAGCATGGCAAAATTGTTATTTGAAATCTTATAGGAGTTATTGCCCTTGAAATATGGTTTTACCTATGTTTGCATTAATTGTCAAAGAAACTGACCGTAATAGATAGAGAAAAACAATAAAGAGCAAAGATGTTAAGCACAATAAGTTCTAAAAATACGTCAACATATAAGAAATTGTCAACCGAATCCGTCGTATAGGAGATACTGCCCCTGAATGACAATGTTTATCCATTTTTGCATTTTTTGCAGAAACTATAATATATAGGAAGAGACTGCAAATAGCACATGTTAGTCAATTTGGCGAAATCATCATCAGACTACTTATAGGATTCATTATCGTAAAATGATATTTTTTACAATTTTTGACAATTTTGATAGTTTTCTCGAAACTTTAATAGATATATGTATAAACTGTAAACTGTACACAGTAAATATTATCACCAATACAACATCTACAACAACAAAAAACACTAAAATGATTTACAAGTAAGAAAACAGAATTTATTGCAATAATTGTAAAAATATTTTCAAAACAGCATACAGCATATTTCTCGCAGGCGAGAGATTCGGGCTCTTGTGAGCCTTTGGTTAATTTTTTCAAAGCATGATTATCCCTTCCCAAAACAAAGGATTTGTATCTGCGTTGATCGTAATTTTTCATGAAACAAAGTTGAACTTAGGGATCTACCATTTGATTTTTCTGGTTTGGGGGGAGGGGGAGTTACACGTATAAAAATTAGAAAACCAAATGGAACTTTATTTAACACACCCAGATACATTTGTTTTAACAAAACATGACTAAATTAAGAATAAATGATTGCAGCACGGAGATATTATAAAATTCGCAAAAGTCAAAGCCTATGTATAGTACTACTTATGGTAAGCATCAATTCTTGTTTATTTGGAAAATTCACGTTTACCTCATAAAAAAATCGGTTTGCAATATTCTACACGACTTCACACAAACATACCTAAAAAAACAGAAAAAAAACGAAATTTTACGTGTTTCGTCCTTTATATATAGAACTGAGAAAAAGAGACCTTGTTTTTACAGACATAAATTTTCTATCTATCATGTTTGTTTAATTTGCATAATTTATGTTATATCTGTTTGTAATGTGATTATATTGCCATGACGAATAGTTGGTCTCAAGTTTGCATCAATATTTATAAAGATAAAAAAAACTAACAAATGTTAACGTCTTCTTCAAATTTTACTTTATGATTTTTAGTACTGCAACTGACCTCGAAAAAGGCGCTTAGTTAACGAGTTTAATGTTCCGGAATAACACACGGCTGCAAATTGTTTTAAATGATAGAATAATATCTATATTTTAATTTCCGTCTGGTCGTAAAAAGTTTCTTTGGTCACATTTTTGTATTTTAGCCCTTAAATGGGGTACCCCTCAATTTACGGTTTTGGGTGGTCACCTTAAAATCCAAAAACAAATTTATTTTGTTAAATTTCCGGCTCTTTTCGTAAATAGTTTCGATGCACATATCATCAAGGATCATCGGAATGATGAAGACATAAATATAATACCATCCCCGAGTAAAACTCTTAAACTTAAAGTTGGCAGTTTTTAGATGGAAATTTAACGCATTCTTCTCTGAAAACGAGAAAACTTATGATTCAAAAACAGTATTTGACATTTGAGAGGAAAAAGTACATTATTGCGATACTGCATGCAAATTTCATTGGGCAAATTCCCAAACAATTTTGTCAAAAACTCAAAAATAAAATCATAATTTATACCTTTTTTTATTACGGAAATTTCATATCCGTCAATCAGCTCCATCATTTACTTTTTCCTTCACAATGAATTTGGTAGTTTCGATGTGATTATGTTCATTTTCTTGGATAAGTTAATTAATTATGAGTTTTTTTAAGAGTGATTTGATTAAATATAGTAGTTCTTTCTTGTGTTTTCTGTAAATAAGTTATATTTTTGTTGATAAAATTTTGACTTTTTATAAAAGTTAACCAAATCCTTCGGATAAGATGTTTTTCCGGATATTGACTAGTTGTGGAAGTCCTGTAAAGTTTACTCCTACTAGTCCCAAAAGGAGAAGGCTTGACAATGTGTGGAAAAATATATTGTATGTCAATGTTCAACCTCAGAGCAATTATTATGCATGCAAGCTGTCGGGGAAAAAAGTACTTTTGATGTTTTGCAGAGATTTGGTGTGTGACAAGGTGATGCTACAACTAACTTCTCTTGATATTCTGCTTTTCTTGGACGAACGAGTTGTGAATCATCAGTGATGTTATAAGACTTACACCAGAAGGCAAAATTGTAGCGTCTTCAAATTAGAAACAACAGAAAGCCAAATATGTGATCAATCTGATCCACATGTATCCTCACAACCTGACACTTTCATACGATCTTGCGCTCAGTTTCCTCCATTCCCCCTTGTAGTTTGGATATGAAAACATGTTTTTTGTGTAAAAGCAAAACCTTTGAAAAGGATAGAAAACTTCACAAAATTGAGTCGCCTGAACGTGTTGACAGTCTTTTGAGGTGTGCTAATGAGAGTAATCATTTATCCATGGTAAAGAATGGGAGTACAGATTTATTTTCAAAAGCAGTCTACCTGTCAGCATGCATTACCAAGTACTTATTGAAGTCAACACCTGTGAAATCAGGTAAAACAGTAACTGAAGAATTAGAAAATGAATTTGCTTTCAATTCATTGATAACGATTGTTAATGATGATATTTTCTTCCATAAATAGGCCTTTTTCATGTAGCACATCCTCGGCATATACCGATCACTTTTACCCAAGAATGTCTCTGATGATTACCCATCTGCCAAACTCCAGACCAAACTAACTAGTTGTTATGACACCTTACAATTCAGACACAGCAGGGACAAGGGATGTCAAATATAGAGTTCAGCTCTGAGCTCACTATAGGGGATACCATATCTGCTGCAGGAAAATTGAAGTCTATGTTAAGACTTTCAGAATTACACCCAGGTGTGTCTGAAGATATCAAGGATACATTAAAAGAAGAAGAATTACTTCACTCTGCCGCAAGCGCTCTTAGAAGCTCTGTCTTCGTCGGGTGCTTTTATGGAAAAGATGCCCGCATCGCTTTTTTGAAAAATCACACAAAGGCGCTTCTGAACCGTGTGTTGTCTCTAAAGATAAAAAAGAATCGTAAATGTATGGCTATTACAAAATCAATCGTTTCTGTAGCACATTCAACATTTCGCCCATTGCATTTGGGATTGGCCGTGCAGTTATATCATGACTATGGGAATATGGGTCACGAACATTGATAGAAACTTTGTACTCACATGGCTTTTGTGTTTCCTATGCAGCGGCAAGACTATACCCGACAAGCATTGCCATGCACGAGTTTGACCGAATCAAGACGGTATTTACTCTCCAGATGGCATTGTTTCAAAACACCAAGTGGGTGTTTGATATTAAAAGGTACCGACAATAAAGTCATCAACACGGAGACAATTAAAAGTGAGGAACGTTTCATTCCATGGCACAAGCAGACTTTCAGGTTTGTCAATCTACAATTGATTCCAGTTTGCATCAGATTAAAGTGAAAAGAGGTCAAGATAACACTTTTCAATTTACTGACAGTGCATCATCGTTGGCGGCTGTTTCATTATACTAAAGGTAAGAGAGGTCTTCCTCGCGTTCCGAATGTTTCAAATACATTTCAAATTGTGCTGAAAATATGGAAAACACATCAGATATTCCTTGGGTAATTTTGCGCTCCATGTTAAGATATATCGGAAATATTACTGTTAAGTCAGAAACGTTTGACCATCAAGTTATTTCATTTGAGACCAGATATAACAACGCTTTCTGACTTCAGGCTTGAATTTTCGGCCGGGAAGACAAAAATGAATAAACCCCCAACATTTTTCAAGGGACAAATGTCATCAGATTACTTACAAGATTGTATTGGTACCTGCAAAGGTAAATCTCTGTGCTTAAAAGCGGTGTTTGCTTTGAACAAACTCTGTCCTGCACCGAACTAGTTTGTGTCATGAACAGGAAGTGTGTTGTAGTGCAAATACGCATACCATGACGAAGAGATTGATCCATATCCCTCTATAATGAAGACTAGAGCTATTGTATGTAGCTTTTAAAAGACAAGTTATATAAGGGTCTTGACCGATTTTAAATTACAACATTAGCAAATTGGCATTAAATTGTATTTTTCATTACTTCCCTAAAAAAATGATGAGTCTACACTTATTTACCAGGATAATGCAACTAAAACAATGTTCATGCACCAAACTGAGTTTGTTTTACACTCAACCAACCGCTAAATCAATGCATGTCACACTTATGATTTTTTTTAACCTCGCATTCGCCTCGGTGTACTATGATTTTTTTTGTGTTATAACTGATCTGTCCGGACTTTGCAAATACACAATATTTATAACTAGATCCTAATTTTCCCAAAATACACATCATTTTAGATGCAAAATTAAAAACATTGTTTCAGCGCTTGAATTTTGTTTTTTTCAAAGATAGAAAAAATATTTAATAATTTGATAAACTGGTGTTTTATAGTTTAGAAAATAATTCTGTAATATACTGTAGTGAAAAACTATAAGAAATATGAAAGTTGATGGATGTAAAAAGGTCAAGGCCACTTCTACTTTTGCTATGTCATAAATGGAAAAAATCAGGAGGTTCCAGATTAACGCCATTTTGTAATAGCAGCTCTTCATATAAATAGTCAAATTTGTCGTTTTAACATCCTTTGCAGCATATGCTTATGATTGAACCGTTTTTGCAGCATTCTAATGAATGAATATCAGAAAATTTCTCCTTTTTGTCCTTGTGGTTGTAATACTGATATTTTTAGGCCTGACCTTTGACCCCAATTTCACAAAAATGTGACCACTCTGAAATTTTACGACCAAACTTTTCTTTTTGTACACGTTTTCCTCTTTCCATCGATATATAATTTAGGTGTGTGTTCTTCCGGAACATTAAAGTTTTAAAAAATTAACTCTGGTTGCAGTACTATTTTGATAGTTCAATGGATCAAAACGAAAAAAGCGTGAAAAATCAAACACATATAATATCACAAAAAGGAGAAGAATCCTCGAGTCACGCTCTCTGCACTGACGATTCAAATTCTGAATCCTTTCAATCGGCTAAAATAACATCAAATGAATCTCCAAAAAATGTAACACCTCCTTATATGTCACAGAAAAATGCACCTCCAGTAAATACATACCATTCTTACGTGGAAGATTCAGCGGAACGGATGCAAAATGTATCAGGAACAAACTATCAACCTTATTGCAATTCCGAATCAGAGAAACATATTTCAAAGTTACTTCCATCAAATAAATCAGGTGCAAAAAGTGAACAACCAAATTACTCACCAAGCGTAAAAAGATCAGCTCCAGAATCACAAGGTCCAAATTTCGCTGAAAATTATGATGGGTACCTATCTTATATACCAGAACCAGAGAAACCTATCTCAAATCCACCTCCATTTAGTAACACAATAGAAACTGAAGGGCCTATTGAACCAACCTCCGAAAATTCAGTAAATGAATCGATTTCACAATGTTCAAATGAATTAATTATAGCTTTGTCTGACGAAGCTCAATCAACCAAAACAATAAACTCAATTAAAAAGCTGACAAAAATCCACTTACCGAGAATAAGGTCAATGATGAAAAGCGATCCTGAAGTCAGATTAGTTAGTAAAGAAGCGGTAGTAGTTCTTGCTAAAGCTACGGAACTTTTCATAGAAGAACTTTGTAAGGATGCGATGATTAACACACTAAAAAGTACAACTAAACGGAAAACCCTGCAAAGAAAAGACCTCGGTCTGATGTTACGTACAATACCCGTAATTGCTATGCCTTTTACCACGGAAGAAAAGACGGGTGAAGGATCTTCTCTAGTCACTGTATTCGGTCAAGGCAAACAGACTAATGCTCAATCTGTAGTGGGTGTGCCTTCCAGCAAGGAACAGCAGACTTATACCGATTCCGTAGTAGCTAAGCCTTCCTGCAAGGAACAACAGACTTATATCGATTCCGTGGTAGCTTTACAAATTAATAAGGAGCTACAGTCTGGTTCTGAACCTGTGATGGCTTTGTCCTTTGATGACGAATCAGTGAAGACTACTAGGCCTTTTAAGGATATTCAGACTGATTATGAATCCGATCAGGATTTGGCTGTAGGCAAACAATTGCAATCCGCAAGGAATTGGCCTTTGAGCAACGATCTGCAGACTGATGTAGAATCCTTAAATGCTATCCCTTTTAGCAAGGAACTGCAAATTGGGACTGCAGTAATGGTGCCTATGCCCTTTAGTAAGGAACTGCAGTCGGATTTTAGTCCCCTTATGGATATGTCCAGTAACAAAGAACTGCATACTGATGTTGCAACAGATATGACTAAGTCATTTTTCGGAGAACTACAGCATGATGAAGACTCATTGATGGCAGAACCTTTCAGCACAGAACTCAGTGGTGATCTTGAAACAGTAATAACTTTTCCCTCAAACAAAAATGATTCTGATTAAAGCCACGTTGTCGAAATGCTAAAACAAGAGATCATTAAAAATTTTGTATGGAACCTTTTTATTTCGGAAAGAAATTGGCAAAATTCTGATGGGTAAATCGGAACCCTATTCAAAAATTTCAGAACAATGATCAATTTTTGGGCTATTTTATTTTAGTTTTTATTGGTGGAGGAAACCGGAGTGCCCGGAGAAAACCCCCGACCTTCGATAGGAAAACTGACAATCCTAGTCAATTAAGATTCGAGTCGAGTGCACCCACATGAGCATCTTCGCTAGCCAAGAGTTGAAGTGGATCGTAACCCTTGGCTAGCGAAGATGCCGCATGAGCGGGGTTCGAACTCCCAACCTCAGTGTTGACTGGCTAGTGATTACAGTAGTAACTACTTAGACCACTCGGCCACCGAGGCCCCTTGTACGATATTCTTTCTATTATAACAATGATTCACAATAAAGTAAACGTGAATCAACAATAATATTAGAAGTTTAATATACGTTCCTGATGAAGGTAAAAGTCTTTACTATAAAAATAAGAAGATGTGGTATAATTGACAATTAGACAACTCTCCACCAGAGAACAAATGACATAGAAGTTTACAACTAGTTAACCATGTTGACCGACCGTCCTATCTGTGATGGAAATGTGTAAAATAAAGGACCGCCTTTTCAATCTGATGATGGAGATTCTAGTTCATTGACAGCCCATTTGACCAGATAATTGGACATTTCATTGCCAACGTATACCACGGGAATCATAAAACTAGTTACCGTCTTTCCATATGTGTGTAACATGTATCCAATGTCAGAATTGGTAAAAAGAAATTGCTATCTAACTGGCCAGTTCATCATTTTAATTCAGATTAACATTACATTTACCACAGTTGTATGTTTAGTTTCACACACCTGATATTTTCTGAAAATAATCTTGATAAAATTAAGTAAATGAAGTTCATTGCTGGTAAAATTAAATGGTCAGCACAAGTCTGGTTCTGGTTGTAAACCTAATTTTGCGAAAGTAGCAATTGATCTTTGGTATGGATGACCCGGCTTTTTTTACGCTATAGATTCCTGTAGATTTTAGTCGGAAGACGAAAAGACGCCGAATGTGATTTCGAGCAAATATGTATGTTTATTTTTGACAATTGAATTCATACTAGTTTCAAAATATCAAATTAATCATCTCTTCATCTTAAAAATCAAGTTGTCTGCAGCAGAACTAGGTCGCTCAAATCACATCATATGGCACATAATCATAATTACCAGGGGTGGATTCAGGCGGGGGCGTGCGCACTCCCCCTAAAATTTGCAAAGCATGTGTTGTTCTCAGCTTAATGAAGAATGTTTCAATAATTTTACATAAAAAAATTTAAGTTTGCGTCCTTCTTACCTAAAATCCTGGATCCGCCCCTGATTATATATGTTTCTGCTATCACTGATCAGTATATGCATCCTATCTATGAAACTGTTGACCCCTATAAGTATAGTATGGTCCTACCAACAAAAAGGTTGTGGCAGAAGTTATTGATCGGATATAAATCAGTACTAGTGCTAAAGATGTATATCAAATTTCCCTATTTCACTAGGACCATTTTCAATGTTCTGCAATATTTCCAAAATTTACAGTATCAAAGTATGGCAAGCCGTTTTTCTATTTATTCTAACTTCAAGATATCTTACATACTTTATAAGATATCTCATATATTTTATAAGATATCTTAAATACTTTATAAGATATCTCATATAATTTAGAAGATATCTTATAAAGAAAATTATGAGATATCTTATAAATCATAAACTATATAAGATATCTTATAAATCATAAACTATATAAGATATCTTATAAATCATAAACTATATAAGATATCTTATAAACTATACATGCTATATAAGATATCTTATAAACTATATGAGATATCTTATAAAGTTTATTAGATATCTTGAAGCTAGAATAAATAGTAAAACGGCTTGCCAAGAACCATAGCTTCATACGTCACGGTATCAATTGAGTTTGTAACAGACTTGTGTTATAATTCTTGGTATATATTTTGGCATATTCATAAATGCCTATTTATTTCAATAACATCGATTAAAATTGCTATTTGAAAGCTTTCTGCAAATTGTCCACAAAATTAATGAAAATGGAAGAAATCCTAGTATACGGTCTTGCTGATATCAATGGTTATTTAAATGAATATTTTTGCAGTAACAAATCAAAATGGTCCCTAACAGCAATTTTAAGAAACGAGTATCTTACTTTTGTTCGCATCTAGTAAAATTGCTGCAAAATAATGTAAAATTTAGTGCACAATTCAGATTCTTTAATATTCAAACTCCTTTTGGTTTCATCAGCTGATGAACTTTGACCCTGTGAGTGAAACAAGATCAAAGAAAATCGGCAATACTATTTACAATTTCCAATATGGATGGGGTCATTGATGAACCGCATGGTCAAGAAGAACGAATTAGTGTTTAAAAGTCCAGCGACAAACATTACACAATTGACATTCAAACTCAAGTCAAAAATAAACTGACAACACCATAGATAAAAAAGAAAAGACAACAGTACATAAAACACAACATAGACTGTACAACACGAACCCCACAAAAAACGAGGGGTGATCTCAGAGGGTAGGCAGATCCTGCTCCACATGTGGCACCCATTGTGTTGCTCATGTAAGTACAAACCCGGTGATAAACTTAATTCGGTAGGTCACATTCGGGGAAAAAGGGACCATTATTAAAGGCCGTACGGTGCATGACCTTAATTGCTAACACCTACGTCTATTGGTCCTTGGTGGATAGTTGTTTCATTGGTAATCATACCACATCTTTATTATTTTTAAATGTAATCTTGTAATAATTCAATACACCAAATATTTTCAACAAATAACTAAAAGTAAGTGAGATAATGTTTCATTTAAAAATATATATATATAATATATGAAAGGAATCACAGAACAGAATGGGTTTATCCTATCAAACAGTCAATTGGACCCTATATGAAGATTCTGCAGACAAAAGATAGTTGACCAATTAAAATATGTACTCATAAGACTAAGTGACTGAGAAAATATTGATATAAAGAATAAATGAATCATGAAAATGATTTCAACGGTAATTCAATATTGTCCTTACAATTGTTAAGACAAAAATTGTTGACCAATGACTTGCAGTGCTGGAGAGACAGACCTAAACTCAAAATTGTATGTTGATCAATGAACCATAAATTGAGGTCAAGGTAAAAAAAACCCTGTTAGACAAATACACATTGCAATGATTCAATTGGCCACAAATATATGATCTGTTACAGTCAACTTACTACTACTTAAATTACCGTTTCTATATAATTTTGCTCAGTCATTGAACCATGAAAATAAGGTCAAGGGCAATGGGCATATGGCAGATGGAAAAGGCAGTCCATTTGGTAACTATATAAATATGGGTTATCCAGCTCTACTGCCCTTGTTTATGCCATTGATACCAGATTAATATCCCTTTACTTGGCAATCTTTGACATTCTTTGCAGGTCAGACAAAGGAATGCTTTAATTAAGTTCATATAGCACAAAATTAGAAATGTTTGTATGCGAGATGCATTGGATCGAAATCGACCTTATATAAGTGTACATGTATGAGACTTTAATTGCTTTTGGAACATTCAAATACGAAATAAAAGATGAATTTTGGTCTGTTATGTAGGGTTCTTATAACAACTCAATTTTCAAACAGTTACAGCTTTCCGTAGATATTTTCAACCCGAAATAGGTTAATAGATGTTTTGATATTCATTTGCATAAGGTGATTTTTATCCGACACAGCTCATATTTTGAGCAAACTATCATTTTTTGACAGATGAGCTAGGAATTTCAGCAAACTTTTTTCAGGATAAATTCTGGTAGCACTGTTCTTAACCAATATGCAAATGTTTGTCTCAACTTGCAACAATAGTTGTGGATAAACTCATCGTGGAATTGACATTTGTCATGCTAATTCAAGCTTCAGTGGCTTCCAAAATTGTAAAAGATTGTGCAAGTGAGACTTATCTCTATGTTACATTTGTAACCTGTTATTGAAACCAAATTTAGCAGAATTGATGATGAGAAAAATCATTTCATATCTGTTAAATGAAAGAACTAAAATTGGCAAACTTATAAGCTTAACAATTGGTAGTCACAAGTGATTGTCATGTAGATATGGACCATGCGACTTAAAATACTGGTCTTGCTGAGGTTGTTGGATGGTTGTTTTCCATCATATTTGTTTTCGAATGATGTTTTATCCTAAATCAGGCTGTTGGTATTCTTGTTTGAATTGTTTGACATTTTGTCATGTTGAGGCCTTACATAGCTTACTATACACTACTGGTTTGCTGATTGTTGAAGGCCTTACAGTAACCTATAATTGCTTACACCCACACAATTCAGTCTCTGGTGGATAGTTGTCTCATTGGTAATCATTCCATAGCTCCTTTTTCTTTAAAATCTCATTGGTAATCATTCCATAGCTCCTTTTTCTTTTTTAAAGAAAAAGGAGCTATGGAATGATTACCAATAAGACAACTATCCACCAGAGACTGAATTGTGTGGGTGTAAGCAATTATAGTTTACTGTAGTTGTCTCATTGGTAATCATTCCATAGCTCCTTTTTCTTTTTTATACGCACGTCAAAATTTCGACGGGACTTATTATGGTATACAAATGTCGTCTGTCCGTCTGTCTGTCCAGTGTAAACATGTCGCACCGTAACTTGAGAACAACTTATCCAAATTTCATGAAACTTAAAATAGTTGTTTCTTATGATGGTCAAACGATCTGTATACTTTTTGGTGAAAATAAGATGAAAACTTTTTGAGTTACGGGACAGTAACTAAAACAGGTGTGTGTTTTTTTCACATGTCGCGCCGTATCTCAAAAACAATTTATGATTATTGCTTAAAACTTTACACACTTCTTAGTTATATTAATCTAAATCCCTATATCCTTTAGGTGATGATTCAAAATTTTATTTAAGAGATATTGAATATTTTGTTAAAAAAGGGGGTCGGGTTTTTCACATGTCGCGCCGTATCTCAAAAACAATTATGATTATTGCTTAAAACTTTACACACTTCTTAGTTATATTAATCTTAAGATCTGTATACTTTTTGGTGATGATCCAAAATTTTATTTTTGAGATATTGATTTATTTTTTTTTAAAAGGGGGTTTTCACATGTCGCGCTGTATCTCAAAAACGATTTATGATTATTGCTTAAAATTTTACAAACTTCTTAGTTATATTAATCTCAAGATCTGTATACTTTTTGGTTTTGATTCAAAATTTTATTTTAGAGATATTGAGTTTTTTGTAAAAAAAGGGGATTTTCGCATGTCAGATACTATTTATGATTATTGCATAAAAATTCACACACAAGAAGACGGGCGTATCATGTGCTCATGGCGCAGCTGTTTATTTTAATCTTGCCGACTTTTTTTTAAAGGGAAAAGAAAACATTATACCAATAGTTAAATTTATTCCAATAACAATAGTAGTTTGTTTATAACTTAACTAAATAAATACAATTATCAATTCAAGTAAGACTTACAATCAATGTAAGATGCTATGGGAAGTAACTCTTCAATATCTTCTGAGGATCCATGTATCAAAATTTTAATTAAATCTCATCATATTGCACCAATGGCAAATGTATGTTTTGATCTATGTGAAGAGTTCCCAAGTTTCTAAATACTCATGCAGAGTAGTCTCTTTTCATTAAAGGTTAAATCTCCCTATTCTGAAGAAAAAAATATCAAAGTTTTCTGAGCAGCTTCAGATAATCAAAACTGGTTGTCTACAGCCATTTCATTTTCTCATTCAAATTTTTCATCAGGAATGATTTGATAAGTGGAAACCTGTAAAACTTTCTTCCCTCAAGTGTTAACACTGAACAGTCCTAATGTATTCAATGAAAAAAATCCTAATATCAACATGTAATTTCTGATGAATTTAAAAGTAAACAGGAGTTAACAAATTTCTTCTCTAATTATTTCTATTCATAGGTAACCAGAGGTGGATTTAGGGGGGCCCAGGGTGCCCAGACCTACCCCCCCCCTTTTTGAAGGAAAATTTTGTTGATTATTTAGGGAATCACTGAAGCATGACTAAGCAGGTCCCCTCTTATGGCAGTCAGTGGGCCCCCCTTATGAAAATTTCTGGATCCACCACTGGTAACAGTTTTTCTGTTTAAAGAAAATTGTTTGAGGTGAAAAAAAAACCTTCATTCCAAGTAATTTTTTAATGGGGACAAAAAAACATGTTTTAAGGAAAATTTCACTTATTTTAATGTTTTATCTTTAGCTCCTACCCAAAAATCTATAAAATATTAGCAATAAGAAACCTCTGAATAATAAATGCTACAACAAAATTTCTCAAGTTAACAGAATAAAATGTTGAATCTGAATCTAGAATTAAAATACAACATAGCTGTATTTGTTTAAATATTTTTCTTTTAACATGTTTTACCATGGAATGACAATAAGTATAAAACATTAAAACATGGTGAAATTACACCCTGGACTCATACATCTGAAAAATAATATACTCAACAACTCTCCCCCTAAAGATACAGATAGTTTATTGTATGACAAGTAATCTGCACTTGATTGATTGATTGTTGGTTTGAACATCACTTTCAGTGCTCTTGGATATATCATATATCCAGGGTTCTCACTAAGGATTTTTTAAAGCGAGTTCAGGGACTGGTCAGTTTTGATAATGGCGTGTCCAACAGTGAGAAATAAAATTGTAGTGCCATATCGTTTATAATTTCAGTCACCATGACAAAAATAGAGCAAGGAAATGACATGAAATTTAGATTATTTTTGAACTTTTGTGATAATATGATGGTATATGTGTTCAGTTGATACATGTACAATCTTGATCCATCTTTGGACTCACCAGTTTTGAAAATGATGAGTCTAAACAGATGTTCATGAGTCCAGGATTCATGGACTCACCTAAGTGAGAACCCTGATATATCATGGCAGCTAAATAGAAATTATTCTTGTTTCCTGTCTCCTTGCAGAACAAAATAGAAAAGGAAGTTACAAAATGTAGGACTGGTAGGAAAAATGATTTTATTTCGCAAAAAACCTTTATTTTCATAGACTACAAACAAAAATGACAAAGGGAAATGTTCTAGACTTAAATGCTTAACCAAAAATGTATAACCATCCAATTCGATTCCCACATTAAAAACTTATTTGTTATTTACAATATATATAACATACAGGAAGAATGAATTTAATTCCAACCCTTTTCCTAGAAAATTCAACACCCCCCCCCCCCCCCCCCCCCCTACTTAAAAGGTTCTGATTTATGTTAACATAATTCTAGTCCAAAAAAATTATTTCTGGTCATACCTTCAATAACATAACTGCATTCAAGAGCAATTTTTACATTTTGAAGTAACCAGTGAGCACTTTCAACATTATACATGTAATATCTCTCTCAATGTATCTTATGTAAAAATAAATTTGTAATACAGGAAATTCAGTTCTTTTTTTAACACTAATGTACATTTTTGTGTAGCTTGAATCATAAATGTTTACTATTTTAACTAATGATACAAAAAAATTGATACAATTTGTGTCTGGAATGAAATTATATACAATCATGGTAATGTTTGCATGATACAGGCAAACACGTGAAACATATAAACTATAAGAAGCTGCTTCAACGAAGGAAGAATGACGAACTGATAGATATACAGATCATATTGCCATCCTTCCCAGGGATCTGACAATGCTACATTCTACCTTTTGTTTTAAATACCTTACAGGGATCTGACAATGCTACATTCTACCTTTTGTTTTAAATACCTTACAGGGATCTGACAATGCTACATTCTACCTTTTGTTTTAAATACCTTACAGGGATCTGACAATGCTACATTCTACCTTTTGTTTTAAATACCTTACAGGGATCTGACAATGCTACATTCTACCTTTTGTTTTAAATACCTTACAGGGATCTGACAATGCTGCATTCTACCTTTTGTTTTAAATACCTTACAGGGATCTGACAATGCTACATTCTACCTTTTGTTTTAAATACCTTACAGGGATCTGACAATGCTACATTCTACCTTTTGTTTTAAATACCTTACAGGGATCTGACAATGCTACATTCTACCTTTTGTTTTAAATACCTTACAGGGATCTGACAATGCTACATTCTACCTTTTGTTTTAAATACCTTACAGGGATCTGACAATGCTACATTCTACCTTTTGTTTTAAATACCTTACAGGGATCTGACAATGCTGCATTCTACCTTTTGTTTTAAATACCTTACAGGGATCTGACAATGCTACATTCTACCTTTTGTTTTAAATACCTTACAGGGATCTGACAATGCTACATTCTACCTTTTGTTTTAAATACCTTACAGGGATCTGACAATGCTACATTCTACCTTTTGTTTTAAATACCTTTCGGGATCCTCAAGTTTGTTATAATGATACACAAACAACTTCAAAAGTTTGGAGAAATTTCATTGGCTGATGTTACCAGAACAGAAAGTAGAACAGAGTAATGTCAGAGCCTTGTTTAATAGCAAAGTGTGAACACAGGCTTTTTATTTGAATCAGATTAGCAGAATGGTTCACTGGGTGAAGACATAATTTTTGTTGGCATAAACTGATACTGGAAGCAATTAACTCAAATGATAAAGTAAAATCTAATTTCAAACAACACCCTCAAAATACTTATGGGTACTTTTAACTGAAATTGCTACAATTGGTACTAAAAATTAGATTGGAACAGTCTAAATTAAATCTGAGTGGACATAAGTTGCATTTGCTTCCAATAGTGGCCAGAAGGAAAAAAGAAAAATGCAGCTGTAGTGTAATAGAAAACTGAATACAAATATTAAGCACTATTAAGACTATATATAAGAATGATCATCTTCAATATATTGACTACTGTCTGTAGACAGTGCAACCATGGCGATAGCTGCATTATTATCATTGTCTGTCGTGTCTGGCAATGTATCTATTGTTATTGAATCTGCTGTACTTGTCTCCGAGGAAACTGTTGTCATGGTGATTGTGGAATGCGCCGTCTCTGAAGGATCTGTTGTCACCATGTGTTGTGTGATATAAACTGGTACCCCTTCAGAACTCCCGTCGTCACTAGATTTAACTATCTGACATTGATAAACATTCTCCTCACCAGAGTTCATATCCTGCGGAATCTGTATTATGACCTCTTGACCTTGGCTGTCATTCATTACAATTGGAATGTTTCCACTGGATAACTCAATGACCTCTTGACCTGAGCTGCCTCCAATATGGAAATTTTGTGGCACTTCTTCAACTAATGATGGTACATTGACCTCCCCTTCTGACTGATTATTTCCATCTAACAGGGCTTCAGATGAAACAGTTTCCAAAGTACTTATATCTATCTCAACAGGCACAACTTCTTCTTCATTCTGCACAGCATCTCCTGTAGATATATTAGCCTCATCTTCAATTAACTTTGACTCTTCTGCTGAATCATCATGGCTGCCATTTTGTTCTGTATCATCCGAGTGATTTTCATTCACATGTATTTCTAACTCATCCAGTGACATGAAAGCTTCATAACACTTTCGGCATTCATAGACCATCAACATATCATCATCTTCCATTGATTCATCCTGACTTTCTCCGTCTGTTTTCTTACGATGAATAAGCTGATGACGTAGAAGATTGAAGCGTTTATTGAAATACTTCTTACAACCAGGTTCATCACATTCGTGTACTGTAGGGGTTATGGGTTCACCTCCTGTTAAATAAATGAAAGATTGATCGATTGTGCTTAAATTCCAGTGATAAATATTACATGCATGTACAGCAAAATAAAGAACAGATAATAGGTGAAACAAATAAGATGTAAATTCAGAAAATTTTGTGATGTTTTTATAATTACGAAATTTGCTACAGAATAGGTTTCTCAAAAATATAAAATCCCATTTAAGATTTTGAAAGCATTATAACTTTGCAGCATTTTCTGCAATTGCAATAATTAATTTTGCTTTTTTGTCTATGGTTCAATAATTTGAATGATAAATGCACACAAAAATTTTTGAACTACATTATAGTGAGTATGATCAATATTCATTCTCAATGATATTTTAACACACTTATGGAATGATAGAACTCCTCTTCCTACAGAACAATGGTTTCGAGAGTCTCTTTTTATAAGGCTGTGATAAAAGTGGTGCTCCAATCATCAGAAACATCTTATTTTAGTCAAGAACTAGAAATCAAATGATCCATTCCTAACTACATGTATAAAGATTTATTGTGTTTTCATGCTTCTTTAAATAAAAAAAAACTAGAATGTGTCCATAGTAAATGGATGCCCCACTCGCACTATCATTTTCCATGTTCAGTGGACCGTGAAATTGGGGTCAAAACTCTAATTTGGTATTAAAATTAGAAAGATCATATTATAGCTATAGGATACATGTGTACTAAGTTTCAAGGTGATTGGACTTCAACTTCATCAAAAACTACCTTGATCAAAAACTTTTAACCAAAATCTTTAACCTGAAGCGGGACAGACAGACGGACGAACGGACGTACAGAGCGAAAAACATAATGCCCATAAATGGAGCATAAAAACTGTTACCTTCATTTTTCATTTGTTGTTCGACTCTAAATTGCCAGTGCAGTAATTAGTTACATTTTAGTGACTTGGCTTTTATTTCTAATAACAATGTGGATCATTCTATTACATTATGGGGGGATGGGGGTGTTCACCATAATATTCAAAATCAACAGACCATAATTTCAAAATCAGAAACCATATGTTTTATCTGTTTAAACATTACTATACCACTACTGACTAACTTTACCTTGAGTATCATGTTTAATGAGTCTGTGAGTCTCCAAATGGTTTCTCTGTTTAAAGATCTTGTTACAGATGTCACATTTATGTATTATATTGTGAAGTTTTCTGTGCCTTTCTAAGTTCTCCTTCCTCTTCACCACTTTAGCACAGATTTCACATTGGTAGATAGGCTTTTCTTTGTCGTCTCCCTTTACACTTCTCGTATGTCGCTTCGATGCATTCTTTAGTACACTGTAACAGCCGGTAAATCTCAAATTTTCTTGAATCTGTTTCTCAATTTCTTTAATTTCCTCAGCTGTCATGACAACACCTTCGCTCTCCTTTTATTTAAACAGAAAAATAAACAAATCATGAATATTGTTATGTTAACCTAGTATATTAAAAGGCAAATGACACCAATATATTAAATGTGTGTTTGACGAATGAATTTGTATAAACAGGCAAACCTGGTAACCCTATAGATATTATCTTCTATGTCATTTGGTCTCTGGTGGAGAGTTTTCTTATTGGCAATCATACCACATTTTCTTATATTTATATGTACACGTTAACAGGGGTACAATTCACTGAGAAAAGTTAGTCATGTTAGTGAGAACCCTGGTTAGGACAAGATTCTTTTGAAAATATCAATAAATCTTACCTAACTTTTGACATTACCTTGTAATTCAGTTCATAATCAGAAATATCCATGTTGTGTATGTTTTTAATATGACTCTGTAATGCTATCAGGTTGGTAAAATGTCGTCCACAGATGCTACATAAATATCTACCATCATTAGTGGTTTGTACTATTCCCGTCTTAGTGACATCTGTTGGCCGTTCATCAGGTTTGTCAGGAAGATGCATTTCCATGTGTTTTACTAAGTCAGCATTCCACGGTAACATTTTCCCACAATGACTACAACAATAAAGAGTATTTTTCTGAGTGGCTGCAACTTCATCTTCTTCTACCGTGTTCTGGTCTTTCTCATTTTCTCTGTCTAAATCCATCATACCAACTTCTAAAACAGACTGTTTTTCAAAATCTTTAGAACTGTCTGTCGAAGTATTTTCTGGTGTTACTTCGACTGTAGTTAATGGATCAGTATCTTTTTCCATTTCATTGGAAACATTGTTCTCGTCTTCGTAGTCCTCTTCAGTATCATCAACTTCAATTTTAATCATTGTACCCACATATTCCTCTGCATCTTCCTTGATGGTTTCATTTTGCACTGCCATGGCTTTCAATCCGTCTTTTTCATGAATTTTACAATGTTTCTCAAACGTATCGATTCTAAAATACGTCTGCTTACAAATGTTACAATTATAGAGCCGTGAATTCTCATGTTGTTTTTCATGCTTCTGAAGTCTAAATGGATCCCTGTAAGTTTTCGTACAAAACCTACATCTCAAACGAACTACATTTGACTCATCTTTTGGTTTTAAGAGCTTTTCAACACCCTCATGCTTCAAAAGATGTTTCTGCAAACTTAGAATATTTCTAGCTGTAAATGCACAAATTTGACATCGAAGGTGATCGTTATTATGTGTTTTCACGTGAGCTTTAGCATGATCCCTTCGACTAAATCGTTTGTCACATTTTTCACATCCATAAGGTCTTTCTCCTGTATGCTTTCGTCTGTGATTTTTCAGTTGTTGTTTCTGATTAAATCCCATGTGACAGAATTCACATTTGAATGGTTTAATACCAGTGTGAAGTCTCATGTGTATCTTTAGATCGTTACTTTGTGTAAACTTTTTATTACACTGCTTACACTCCCATGGTTTCTCTTTAGTGTGAACAACCATGTGTCTCTTCAGTAAGCCTTTATAATTAAAAACTTTATGACAAATGTTACAGTTATGTAGTTTTCCGTCAAGATGCAAACGTAGATGACGTTCCAGAAAGGACAAATCCTTAAACTGTTTCTCACATAAATCACACCTATATAGAATTTCTGGTACATCGTCCACAGGTTTGTCTAACCCTAACTGACCAATTGTGAGAACCTGAGGTGCTGGGTCTGGTTCGATGCTGGCAATTTCAATTGTAGCCGTCTCTACAGAATCGTCTTGAGTAGATACAAAGTTGACGACAGGAATTTCATTTTCAATGTCCTGTTCCGATTGTTCATGCTGTACAATTTTCATGATGTCATCTTTGAGGTGCTCATCTCCTTCATAGTGATATTTTCTCATGTGTCTTTTAAGATGCCCGTTAGCGGTAAAACCTTTCTGACATATTTGACAACGTATATCTGATTCTGTATGTATCCGGGAATGTTCTTCCATGTGATGTTTTCTGCCGAACCTTTTCCCACAATGTTCACATTCATAGTTCTTTTCTCCAGTATGCGTCAGCATGTGTTTTTTAACATTTTGTCGTTGTGTGAACCCCTTGCCACATACCTCACATTTAAATGGCCTTGACCCAGTGTGGGATCTCATATGAGCTGTCAAATCATTACTCTGTGTGAATCTTTTATGGCATAACGAACACTCATATGGTCTCACGCCTGTGTGTATTCTTATGTGACGTTTAAGAATGGACGAATTTGCCAATTCTTTTCCACAAATCAAACATTTAAATTTCTTGTTTGGAAGTGCACGGCTGTATTTTTTCATTTCTGTTGTTTGGACACTGACATCTTGATAGACAGGGGAATCTCCATATTTAAAAACTACAGGATTTTTATCATCTGTTTCAAACTGTGGCTCAACTTTGGCTTTACTAGGTGTTAATGCTTTTTCATTTTGATTCAGAACCACAGTGGGTGTGGCTTTATCACCTTGATTGACAACTACAATCTGTTGGCCGGAGTTTGTATTCAGATTGAGAGGGGTTACACCATTCTGTGTGATGATTACCAAGACGTTTGTTAATTCTTCTCCATCACCACCTTCTTTCACCTGAGCTAGCTGGAACATATTATTTTGTTGTTCTTCATCATCTTCTCCATCTTTAACTTGAGCTAAATGGAACACACGACTTCTCTGCTGATCAGCCATGCTGGTCTAGAGTCTAAAATACAAATTATCATGATTATAAATAGTAACTTGTCTACAGTCTAAATTACAAATAATCATGATTACTAGTATAAATAGTAACTAGTCTACAATCTAAAATACAAATTATCATGATTATAAATAGTAACTCGTCTACAGTCTAAAATACAAATAATCATGATTATAAATAGTAACTTGTCTACAGTCTAAAATACAAATTATCATGATTATAAATAGTAACTTGTCTACAGTCTAAAATACAAATAATCATGATTCTAAATACTAAATCGTCTACAGTCTAAAATATAAATAATCATGATTCTAAATAGTAACTTGGCTACAGTCTAAAATACAAATAATCCTCATTTTAAATAGTAACTTGTCTACAGTCTAAAATACAAATAATCATGATTCTAAATACTAAATCGCCTACAGTCTAAAATATAAATAATCATGATTCTAAATAGTAACTTGGTCTACAGTCTAAAATACAAATAATCCTCATTTTAAATAGTAACTTGTCTACAGTCTAAAATACAAATAATTATGATTCTAAATAGTAACTTGGCTACAGTCTAAAATACAAATAATCCTCATTTTAAATAGTAACTTGTCTACAGTCTAAAATACAAATAATCATGATTCTAAATAGTAACTCATCTAACAGTCTAAAATGCAAATAATCATGAGAATAAACAGTAACTGGTCAAACAATATAAAACTTATGTCCAATTGATATCTATTAGAAAGAAAGAATTCATTATTAATTTGTTAACAAAATGATTTAACAGGCTGATAAGACTTTGGTTTCATTTTAATTTATATTAATTATGCCTTGGGGGTGAGTTTGTGAATATACAAATTCCCACCGTAATGATAACATTTACAAAGTTTAAAGCTGATTTGAGCACAAAACAAGAATATAAAATAAAATTGAGAATGGAAACAGGGAATGTGTCAAAGAGACAGCAACCCGACGGAAAGCAGAAAACAGCCCAAGGCCACTAATTTGTCTTCAACACATCGAGAAAATCCTGCACCAGGAGGCAGGCTTCAGCTGGCCCCTAAACAAAAATGTGCACTAGTTCAGTGAAAATGGACGTCACACTAAACTACGAAAAATATAATAGAACTAAAATTTTAAAAAAATACAAGACTAGCAAAGGCCAGAGGCTCCTGACTTGGGACAGGCGCAAAAATGTGGCGGGGTTAAACATGTTTTGTGAGATCTCAACCCTCCCCCTATACCTCTAGCCAATGTGGAATGAACAAACAGTCATCACTATGCACAGTAAAACTCAGTTTAAAAGAAGTCGGAGTCCGATGATAGAATAGAAACAGAAGAAACTAAGCAAAATGACAATGATCAACATAAATTAACAAAGGACTACTTGCAGTTACTGACATGCCAGCAAATACATATACTTGGCTAAAACTCTGTTTCATGGTAAATAACAGAACAAGGAAACATAATAGTGCAATTGGGGCATGGTGTCCTACCTGAACAAACAATTCTGACTTGTGCGAGATGTAATATTGTAAGGTATTCCATTTATAATTTACATATTGTTTATGTAAATAAGGAGAGGTATTGTTGCCATTGAGACAAAGAACAAGGATATTAACTATTAATACTAACCTATAATGATCTATAATGTAAACAATGACAGAATCTGCACAACAAATTCTTTTATATTCACTTGTCAAATTTTAATTTCATTTCAAAATTTGAGTTATCTCCCCTTTTTCATGTTGTTCTAGTCAAATAGTTGTAGAAGTAATTTTTGTACAATCTCAGAAAACATTAAAAAACTCTGGGACACATAGATGTTAATTATGTGAATATCAAAATGAATGTGGCCTTTAAAAGTGGTCCCTGGAAGCTTTATGCATTATTTTGAAAATAAAAGACAAATGAGATTTTTATGATTGTATTAAAGTCAACTATATATATAAAATCATGAAATATAGACAATTTAACTCACTTTTACAGTCAAGAGAAATTCTAGAATATGACCGTCTTACTTTTTACATAATTTAAAAACAAGAGTGCACACGCTGAAATGTCTCGCCTTCTTTACTAATCATTGATATTATGTTGATAGTCCTAAATATAAAGCTTTATTACAACTGTCACATAAACTTAACATTAACCAAGTAAACTAAACATTGACCAATGAACCATGAAAATGAGGTCAAGGTCAGATGAACCATGCTAGGCAGGCATGTACAGCTAACAATTCTTCCATACAACAAATATAGTTGACCTATTGCTTATAGTTTAAGAAAAACAGACGAAAACACAAAAACTTAACACTGAGCAATGAACCTTGAAAATGAGGTCAAGGTCAAATAAAACCTGCGTGACTAACATATAGATCATAAAATATTTCCATACACCAAATATAGTTGAACTATTGCATATAGTATTAGAAAAAAAGACCAAAACTCAAAAACTTAACTTTGACCACTGAACCATGAAAATGAGGTCAAGGTCAGATGACACCTGCCAGCTAGACATGTACACCTTACAATCATTCCATACACCAAATATAGTAGACCTATTGCATACAGTATAAGAAAAACAGACCAAAACACAAAAACTTAACTATAACCACTGAACCATGAAAATGAGGTCAAGGTCAGATGACACCTGCCAGTTGGACATGTACACCTTACAGTCCTTCCATACACCGAATATACTAGACCTATTGCTTATAGTATCTGAGATATGGACTTGACCACGAAAACTTAACCTTGTTCACTGATCCATGAAATGAGGTCGAGGTCAAGTGAAAACTGTCTGACGGGCATGAGGACCTTGCAAGGTACGCACATACCAAATATAGTTATCCTATTACTTATAATAAGAGAGAATTTAACATTACAAAAAATCTGAACTTTTTTTTCAAGTAGTCACTGAACCATGAAAATGAGGTCAAGGACATTGGACATGTGACTGACGGAAACTTTGTAACATGAGGCATCCATATACAAAGTATGAAGCATCCAGGTCTTTCATCTTCTAAAATATAAAGCTTTTAAGAAGTTAGCTAACGCCGCCGCCGCCGCCGTAGCCGCCGCCGCCGCCGCCGCCGGATCGCTATCCCTATGTCGAGCTTTCTGCGACAAAAGTCGCAGGCTCGACAAAAAACTGGATGACTAAGGGAGATAACTCTACAATGTTCCTCCAATATTACATGTAGTTACATGGACCTAGTTAACATTGTGCATGTAAATAGAAACAAACCTACTTACAATGTATATTAAGTACAAATGTTAAATATGATTATTTCCACATAATAAATAAGGTTTTACTGTAATATGAAAATTAAAATGTCAATTCTTATTATTGTTATGGTCATCAATCAGTTATATTTTTATTAAAAACTTTGCATTAATATTAGAATAATATAATTAGGGTTCTTACTAAGGATTTTTGAAGGAGAGTCCAGGAACTAGTTACTATCATGACTATGGCAAACAGTAAGAAGATGAAATTCTATTGCTACATGTATGTACATGTTTAGTTTGTTATTCATTTGTTATTTCAGTCACCTTAACAAAAAGAGCAAGAAAATGACATCAACATCATCAAATTTAGATCATTTTATAAATTTTGAAATTAATTGATGATATATGAGGTCACTTGATACAACATTATGGACTCTCTAGTTTTGAAAACAATGAGTCCAGATGAATTTTCATGAGTCCAGGACTCATCGCCTCACCTTACCGAGTCAGAGAACCCCGGCAATTTAACACTGACTGCAGCTGAGATGAGCGGACATGCCAAAATTTCTCGTCGCCTTCACTGACTATAAATTTTTTAACCCCGAATTTGTGTTGATATATTGATGCCAATTTGATGGATATTTTCAGCATATTTCTGAAATTCATGATTTCTTCAATGACATAATAAACACAATAGTTAAACATACGTATTTATTCATGAGTAGGACATTTACATGATTAATAAACTACACTAGTAGTCTTTGAGTTGCTGCCTCTCTGATGAATTTTAAAAGCATTAAATTTTATATTGGCAAACATAATCCCTTATCTTTGAACTGACCAGGACATTGTGCTAGCTTGACATTTTTTTAAGTATTCCTCTGTATTTTGATGTACATTATTCCATTAACCTTACCTATATAAATATATTAAATAATGATCCTCACAAAAAAAAAGTTTGATGTCAAAGCTTTTTGCATCAATTACATGTATCATGACTCATGCAAATAATAATGACGTTTTAAAAGGCTATTTTAAGCTGTTACAATGTATGTAGGAATTAAAGAGCCACATCGAAAAATTAAAATAGCCTTTCAATACTTCATTATTATTTGGACTAGTATCATGACACAACACACCTTATTGCTATTTAGTCCAATCTGGGAAAAACAGTTACTTAGACAACTTCATGTTGAGGTCAAGCGGAACAAAACAAAGGTCATCAAGAAAAAGTTTGGAAAGTGGAAATATATATTTTTAAATTTTGATAGTTTAATTAAGAAGCAATTTTTAAAAGACAAATTAATGTCATTGAAAATGCTTTGTTTTAAGTGTTTACGATGGTTGAAACATTTCTCTATGAAAAGTTTTATGCACAATATATTGTTTGAACAAGACCCCATGGCGAGATAGCTTCAACTGGTTTGAAAAGTTGTGTAATTTTAGAACTTATCCCAATAGGAATAAATAGAGATAAGGCCTCGCGGTCATAAAACTTTCGAGCACGATTATGGTACTCAGACTCAGAAATCAGCCAATCAAAATACTGGATTTGGTGTTTTGAGCACAAATTTTGTACTCCGAGTACTGTGTAAAGTTTTATGACAGAGGGCCCTGGTGTATCAGGTCTGGTTAGATATGGTTAACTTAAATAAGTGTAACCATTCCCAGTTTTAGGACACTGTATCTAAATATTTTACTCTAATAATAAAGAATAACCATTTATACCTGGTTACAAATGATAGGGGGAAATATTCAGCACTAATTTCTTGACATATATTGTTCTGGTCAGTCTGAGTAAAATTCCCTTACGTATATAATCATATTTATTACGTTAAACGCATTCGAAATTAATATCCCGGTAGTTAAATCTGGGACATAATATAGTCTTTAATTTTTTTTACTGAAAATTTAGTTACGAATTTCACCTGATGGTGACCATGGTGACTTAAAGGGGCATTAGCTACGAGATATAAAAATAAATGGGGAATGTGTCCATGGGACACAGATGATGTCCCCGCTTGCATAGAATGTTATAAAGGGACATAACTCAAGAACTGTAAATGTGACGCTACCCAAATTTGTACTTGATCAGAGTTTTGTGGTAATTAGCATTGTGTATAAGTTTCATAACATTTGGTTGAGGCAAACTAAAGTTAGAGAACGGAAACCAAAAATTTAGCAATTTTTCCATTTGTAAAGAGGGCATAAGAAGGGGAGACTTTTTATAATTTGGATATGCGTTTTAGTATGTTACAAGTCAAATGTAAGAATTTGAGTCAAATCGATGAACATGAATTTGACAGCTAAGCATGCTAATGCCCCTTTAAACACGTTGGGGAGGATCCTCATAAACATGATAAATTGGGTACTATCCTCATTTATGGGTATTGCTTAGTCCAAATAATTATTACGTCTGGAAAGGCTATTTTAATTTTTTTTCTGTGACACTGTCGTAGGAAGGCGTCACAGAAAATACAATGTAATTAAAATAGCTTTTCCAGATGTCATAATCATGATAATTATTTGGACTACAAATAATGTAGGTATTGCCCCAAAATGGGTATCAATTTTCAGTGATAAAAAATATAAACTTTGGATTTAGATAATTTCTGTCATGACGCAAACATTCCGGTAAAAGACAACATTTTGCCATGACTGAAATATCATCAGGATAAATGTTAACAGCCTTCAAAAAGTAGGATTTTTAGAATTTTTGGAGGTCATCATCTCTGAATCTAGTCCAAATAATTATGACGTCTTGCAAGGAAGGCGTCACAGAAAAATTAAAATAGCCTTGCAAGAATCCAGTTTTCATGCATTTTCATGTGACCTATGGTCATGATGGTCTTGAAGGAAAATTCTAAAATATTTGCGCCATGACAGCTATCATGATGAAATACAAAATTTGTTTTTTCTTATCACTGTAATTTGTAAAGTGATACCCACATTTCAGAGGACCTGTTAGTGTTACTATTTCAAAGTTTAATTATAATTTTTCCAGGGTTGAATCACTCCTGTCAGTGTGAGCAATGCGGCGAAATTAAATCGTAAAGCTTAACCCTAAAAGACTTGTGGCGCAGGGTTACGTTATATGTCTTTATGCCGTATCCGAGTAGAAATATCCTTTTAAATCTTACAAAAGCACGTGTTGACATGGTTGAAGCTAAAATTCTTCACTGGGGCGAAGGTCGAACTCCCCACTGAACAAATAAAATATACTGTCATAACTGACGGGTGATTCTTTCAGAATATAAGCCTTTAATTACTTTAAAGATGTTATTCTTACAAAGTAACCAGCACTAGCTACTGGTACGGCTATCAAAACGATGCCAAAATCTGTAAATGGTATCAGTTCGTCACTGGTATCCTTGTCCAATATGGCGGCGAGAAAAAGCGGAAAACTTTTACATCCGGGAACCAGAAATAGATTAACGAAAGTATCAGCTTTTTAAAAAGCTTTTGTGACCTCAGCAACTTCATATTTGTGAAAAAAAACATGACATTATTATAAGTTTAATATGGAAAATAACGGAATAGTTGTGATTTGTTATGTCATCTACTTATTTTCTCTTTGTATCCATAATAATCTTGCTAGCACTATAAAATATATCCCTTATGTTTTACCGTGGCATTAAAGACCCTGCACTTGGTGAGGTGCGTTAGACTCACAGGCGCTTCGGGAATGGACCCCCTTTTTCTCATTTGTTTTTGTTTGTTTGTTTTTTTAAATTGTTGTTAATATTCTGTAATATTTTAACTTATATAATGTGTTATTGCTCTTTTCCATACGATATCACAATAACAGACTTAGTATTTTTGTGATTTTACTTTCATGCCAAGAAATTGCCTCCGTTGAAATTTTGCAAACATCCCATAGAGCAAATTACATGGATGATTAATTTTGACCATTTGGTATATGGCTGTGTTTTAAGTGAGACGTACACGCGGGTCATAAATTAATTTATTGAATGAAATCAAATCTTTAACTACCGTAATGGATGCCGTGGGAGGTCGACCGGAATTTTTATCGAGGATTTCTTGGCATGTAACAGATAGAAAACTCAGGGTAAACATTCATAGAACCGAGACAAGGGGCAGTGGCAAATACTTCATGTATATTTTGAACACAAAGAGGATTACCCCGGTACCCTTTGCCAAACATAATCTTTTTTTTCTTCTACGGCGTATGTGACCTATTGAAAGGCTAAATTTCTATCCCTTTCCAATATACCTTCATTTCCCGGTAGCATTCAAAGTTCCCCGTCCTTCATTCCGGGTAATCCCTATATTACAGGACTTATCTATTATATTTATTACAAATAGTTCTCATCCTGAACATGCATGAAATGCTTGCCATTGGACATAAAGTAAACAACAATCAATCATAATGAGTTCTTTCTAAAAATTATCTGCTCTAGCTTCATACCTACATGTATAAGGAGTATTTACATGTTCCTGTTACTTATACAGCTATCAAAGTATTAAATAGTGGTTTGTATTTTAGGATGTGAAGTATTTTTTATTGCAGAGAAACATTATGATTTTATACAAAACTCCAATAACCTTATAATCTCCTGGTTTTTCATGTCGAGGAAAATTATGATATTAATTATATAAGCACTCTTTTGTAGTGTTATTTTCCCTTATTACTATTGACCAGAACAGCATAAAGCCCAGCAGATAATGATTCCTTACGTGAAACGCGCCAAACAGTGGATAATTATCATTGAATTAATCATTGAAGCAGTTTTACTGTTTGAAAAAGAGCGAAATTACGACAGAACACTTCTAGACCAGTGTTCTGTCCTACACTAAAGTATTTTGTACTTTTAGTTACGCTCAGTGGTGATGAAGTTCTGCTACCTATACTTTAGCACTAATACACCAACATTTTTTGCCAAGTTAACGTGCATCCGATCGGCCTGTTCTAACAAAGGACAATGTCCTTCTTTTAATATCAAACAAACCTTTTAATTGGCTTTCTGTATATTCAGACTAATGAGGCGTCGGACTATTGGGATGTCGGACCAATGCTGGTTCGGACTTTTGGGGTGTCGGAATATCGGGGCTGTCCCAAAATTTATAAACTACTAACATGCCAAGAAATCCTCGCTAAAAATTCCGGTCGACCTCCCACGGCATCCATTAGTAGTTAAAGATTTGATTTCATTCAATAAATTAATTTATGACCCGCGTGTACGTCTCACTTAAAACACAGCCATATACCAAATGGTCAAAATTAATCATCCATGTAATTTGCTCTATGGGATGTTTGCAAAATTTCAACGGAGGCAATTTCTTGGAATGGGAGAAAGGAAGAAAAGACCATTCACAATTTGTCTTACATTTGTTTTTCTCTCTTTCAATTAAATAAAAAAAATATATAAACCTTTCAAATGTAGAGTTCATAAGAAGGAAATATTCCCTGTGGAACACCCCCACTCCACCCCACCCCACCCCCCCCCCCCCCTTTTGTGCTCTCTATTTTCACCCTCTAATCTAATTAAAAGTAAAACTTTGATTTCTAACCGATCTATTCATGTACCGGACCGGCAACTTTTTTTATTTAATAAGAAAATCTACAGTGCCGTTATACACATGCATGTTGATTGCTTGGAGTCCCCGCCCGAAAAGAAAGAAATAGTCTAAATCCAAGATACTATATATTCCTGAATCACGTGATTTTTACTACGTGGAGCTTAAATTAGAATAAATACCGAATATGGAAAGTGAAACTACAATTCACAATAAAGTCCGTTGGCAAACGGGACCCTTCAAAGAGTTGTTGTAAATGTTCTATATCTCAACTTGTACGATTCGCTCGTGTATGTAACAACGTATTAGATTTTAGCGAGAGAAATTTATGTATTACTGAAAAATTATTACACCAGGGTTTTCGATATCATAAACTAGTCAAAACATTTACTAAATTTTATCATCGGTATAAGGACATAATTCGTAAATATAACTCAACATGCAGATATCTTATACGTTCGGGTATTTCACATCCAATCTTTTATGGTAATATTCTTTACAAAGCACAAAAATGTCAGTATTCAACTCAAAAGCCAACAAAACCTTTAAACAGATTTATTAAGAAGGGATATAGTTACGATACTGTTGTCAGGTCATTAAAGATTGCATATTTTGGCTTTAATATTAATTCACTTATAGGGTCTTTGCATCGGAATTAAATACATTTATTCTAAAACCAGTTGTTGGCATGACACGGCCGGGTTATGTTCTTCTCATATATTTTATGACGGTATAATACTAAACCCCTAACAGGAGGGATTGTGCCTGATATTCATATGATGAGGACATAATCTTTTAATCAGTTTAATTGAGGTCTGCAATCTAATTAAAATATAGATCTCGGATTTCGTTATACTACGTTATACTACATACGAAGATCTAACAAGTACCCTACAAGGTTTCACTTTTGTGACCTTATATAACGTAATATTTGACCCCAGAAAGTATTTATATCGACCAATCAGAATGCTCCTTATAAACGCGACCTATGAACATGTTGAAGATGGCGACGTAGAAATGGAAAAACAACATAGAAAATGCATTAACTGAAATTTTGCCTTAGTACAAAGTGAAAGAATTGAAATTTGAGAAGAGACAAATTTTGGAAATCAAAGATTGCATGGTCAGGCTTCCAACATGCTTCAAACGGGCTATGGAAGAGTTTACATACCAGATATCTGCTACCCGATAATCAAGTCAGCATTCAAAGGTAAATTCTCGAAAATAAGAGTATTAAATGTTGACATTTTTCTATCATTGGGCAACTTCTCGAGTGTTTATTAAAAAAAATCTTTGTGGAGGATTCACAGTGTACTTTAAAAAAACATGACAATATCCCAGAAAATACATTGCAAGTCTTCATTTTAATTCTCCTACAAAAAAATTATAATTTACAAAGTCAATGAAGATATGGGATCAGATAAATCTAAATTCATTGGTAATAGTATATAAATCATAATGTCATCTTATTAATGATATTCTACTGTGTACTTGCAAAGATATACATGTATACTTATGCCAGCACATGCAGAAGAAGTTTTAATATCAGCATACTTTTTTTACTTCTGTCACACACTGATACATGTTGATATCATGTGGTGCTCCAGATAATTGTTAGGGGAAATTTTCTGCCAAGAAAGAAATTAATTGTTCACTATTCTTGGACTCGGCTACAGTGGGTCAGAATGGCAATTAGTGTTTCAGTGTTCATTAAATATTAGCTTAATGCTTTGTGAGAAAAATAACTTCATCCTGTTTATGTACATATAAAAAAGAAGATGTGGTATGATTGCTAATGAGACAACTCTCCACAAGAGACCAAATGACACAGAAATTAACAACTATAGGTCACCGTACAGCCTTCAACAATGAGCAAAGCCCATATCTCACAGTCAGCTATAAAAGGCCCCGAAATGACAATGTAAAACAATCAAACGAGAAAATCTAACGGCCTAATTTATGTAAAAAAAAAATGAACGAATGACAAGTATGTAACACATAAACAAACGACAACCACTGAATTACAGGCTCCTGACTTGGGACAGGCACATACATACAGAATGGGGAGGGGTTAAACATGTTAGCGGGATCCCAACCCTCCCCCTAACCTGGGACAGTGGTGTAACAGTACAATATTAGAACGAACTATAAAAATCAGTTGAAAGAGGCAAAAAGTGTTACTTGAACCGTTCCAGAACAAATGGTAAAATTTCTGAATTTTTCGTTTCCATTCTCTAACTTTTAGTTTGCCTCAACCAAATGTTATGAAACTTATACACAATACTTATTACCAAAAAAACTCAGATCAAGCACAAATTTGGGTAGCATCACTTTTACCGTTCTTCAGTTATGTCGTTTTATAACTTTATATGATCTGCAAGAGTGGGCATCATCTGTGTCCTATGGACACATTCCCCATTTATTGTAGTCTTTTATACTCAAATATTTAGCTTTAACTACATGATTGAGTAAGTTTGCAGAGGCGGATTTAGAGGGGGAGTTCAGGGGGCTCAGGACCCCTTTTTGGAAAAATTTGGTTGTTTATATAGGGAATCACTGAAGCATGGCTGTACAGGCCCCCATTATGAAGAAAATTTCTGGGTTCGCCACTGCTTTGTTTTCATTTGTAACATTACTAGTATAAATAATTTTGAAGACTTGATAAAGTGATTATGCTCTTGACTGATAGAATACTCTATCTTTAAATTCAACATGTCCAATACATATACTTGATCAATATATAGAAGAACAAGACAGACAAGGCTATCTCTATCATAGTACATACATGTATGTTAAATTGTTCAGAAAACAACCAACCATCAAACAAAATCAATAGGTATCTTATAAGATT